TACTCCATTACCACAGTTACAATAATGTAAGAACTAGATCTACCTGTTTTCATGTAGAGCTTACAGATAAATGTTTGAAACTTATGTCAATCTCCCATTAGTCATTCTTAGTCATCTTAGTACTGAGAGATGAGATGACTGTTGTATGGAGTGGATAAAGCACAGTTATTAATGCTTGTTAGGATATATTTTAGCTCTTCATCCATTTTAAACTAATCCAAAAGACATTTAAGAGATTATAATAAGAGTAATATGAGTTTATTCTGGATAACAGTGCAGTTTCTCTTCCGAGACATTCAGTTACACAAATGATCTTTATTTATATATAACACTTCTAAGGACCTTTTCCCTTTTTTTGGATTTAACTATTTAACCACTGATTTGAATTTCAAAGGGGGGGTTTCTGAACTACAGAGCAGACGCATGTTTTGGCGTTAATTTGGATATAAAACAGCCTAAATTTGACAAGTATACATCAATTTATAAGTAGGATCACACAAGTCTGGTAATGAATAGAGGGCTGTGCTTGTTCCACTCCAATTAGCAACCAAGAAATAGACATTAGATTGTGTGAATGGCTACATTTGTGTTTGAGTGAGTGGGTTTTGTGTAGCTTTAGAATTTCTGTGTTAGTGTATAGTGTTTTTGCCTATAGGACAGTTATCTTATTGTCCACAACTTGGGGTGTTCGACATTTCTCTCCTGCAGCGAATTGGCCCCTATTAGCTAAGCAGCAATGACCCGGTTTGTATTTGCACGCTCTGCTTTCTTACTCCTATCTTTAGGGTCCTTGTAACGCTTCTCTGACTGTCTCTCTCTCTCTCTCTCTCTCTATCTGTTTCACTGCTGTCACACTCTACATCTTTATTCTCTCTATCTCTCCCCCTCCCTCCCTACTACACAGTGATTCGGTGTACAGTACCCTCTGTCATTCTGTGCTGGCATGGTGCTTGTGCAACTGGGACTGCATTTTTCGCTGAAGAGGCACATAAATAATAGCGCAGGGAGCTCTTCTCTTTCTGTCTTTCCATCTCTCTCCATCCCCCCTTCTGTCTCTAAAGCACTGTGGTGAGCAGGCCCAAACTCCTCTAACCCACAGTGTAAGGTCACCTCTCCCTGACATTATATATGTGCTCTGTTATACAATCACACAGGATCAGCAGCCGGGTACAGATCAAAGTATAGATTTTTTTTTTTTTTTTTTTTTTTTTTTTACAGTTTCATTGAGCAGCAATCTCAAGCTATGTTAATTGATTATGTACATAATTGAGAAGTTTAAACATTTGCCCTTTTTTTACATCAAGTAAAAGACCTGTAACCTATAATAATGTCACTGGGGCACTCTATTTTTCTGTTTTTATTTAGATGGCAGCATGAGGAAGTTCACTCCTTATTAATAATAAAGACAAATGTTTATATTTTTTGTTATTTTTCCCTGAACAAAAACATCTGTTGTCTTAACATGTGTTTCTGATAGCCAGAGTCTAGTGAACCAAGAGCATTTGAATATTATATCCTGGTTGAGTTTTATGCATGACGTACATGCTCACAAGCACATGCCAACAACCCTCTGTGTGTGGGTGGTGGAGAGGGAGAAAAGAATGGGAGAGAGGTGGCCTGCTCACCTGGCTTGAGTGGCTCTTTGGCTCCTGCACTATTATTTGTGGAGGGGCACTGAGGGCCACGCTGCAGCATCACACAGTTCTTCACACATCTGTGTATAAAAACGGCCACATCAGAGGTGCTGTAGGCTCTCACGTTGTCACCAGTTATTCTAATACTTGCACACCAGCATGTTCTTTGTGGCATGGAAACAAAATGGTGGAAGAGTTTTTATCTGCAGGCAAGTTACCATAATAGTTTGCCACTAATAAAACATTTTAAAGGATTTCAAATGTATTTTGTTTGCAAGATCAAATATACCAACATATTAGCCAAACGTCTATCAGCAACTGCCAAGATAAAAGATGAGAGAAATGTATCAACTCATGCTGTGCCTGATGCCTGTATGCTAGGTATGAGCTACAGTACACTTAATATCTATAGTTAAATATTAAAACACATAGCCCTACATTCATTATTTAACTATATTGTGAGGCACACAGGTCTGTCCATCTCAGAGCTGTCTGTGAATGCTTCAGCCCAGCTTCTTGGAGCCCCTCCCCTGCCACTTACTGTGTGTGATCTTTAGGCAGCTAGAGGTCTGTGGTACTTTATTGGGATCTTTTTTCTCTTTCTGTCTTTCCCCTTTTGGTCTTTGCTCTTTTTCTCTAACATTGTTTTGCATTGCATGTGTTAACTTGGTAGCATTCAGTACTATTTTCTCACAACACTCTGTCCTAATCACAACTACAGATGTCCTCCCAGACTCATACTTCCCTCGTCCCCTGCCCCTCCCAGTCCCTCCACCCTACCCTCCTTCTCTTTACCTGACCCTGTCCCTGAGCGATATGCAGCGGGCAGCCTCAGAGTCACTGTAACCACACATAACCACCATACAATTGAAGAAACACACGTTCAACAGCCAAAGATGATTTTTCCTTATTATCTAGATGGTTAACATTTTTGAATCAGCTAACTGTATCATAGCGTTTTGATACGGTTAACTCTTACTTCAGCTATATATGTTTTAAAAAAGAAAAGAAAGACTGTCAAACAATTCAGATTGTGACTGATATTTTTTACAATCGCAGGGGTTATGCATTCATTTCTGGGGTCCTGTGAATTATTTATTTTTTCCTTTTGTCAAAAATGGTGTAAGACTGGAGAAAAAAAGTAACCCTAGAGCACACGTCTGTAAACTAGTCCGACCAACTTGTTTCATACTTGGGAGACATAATGACACTTCTAGCCAAACCCAAAGAAGGGCTTCTATTTGATATAAATGTTGGAGACCCCTTCAAAATTCAGTGTCATTAACTCAAGAGCACTTTGATAAACTTCCAGTTGATGAATTGTTCCTTCACAATAATGAGGTAAGTATGTATATTTAATCATTGTATTAAAATCTACTTTAATTGGACTGTGCTTTTCTGTCATTTCCCCAATCACATAGCTAATGAAATCTTTAATCCCCTCATGTTAGTCCGAGCATCAACACGTAACCTCTATTTACTTGGAAAAGGGAGCCTTCTGTTTTAAGTGTTTTTTAGAACATTCGTTGTTTCCATTCGGCCACACCTGCTGTATTTGGGGCTGACAAAGAATGTAAAGAGCAACAAACACAAGGGAGCTGTAAGAGTTCATGAGGAGCAGCAGACAGCAGTTCCACCTTCAGCACTTGCCAAAAGACATTCTTCAGAGACACTAGAAAGGATGATGAGTAACTGCTGCAGCCCACCTTTTGCAAGAGAGAGCCTGTGCCATATTTCAAAACAAGCAGAGTTTCAGATCTGTTGTTTGTTAGTATGAGGTTTATTTAGGTTCTGTAACTTAATATGGTTGGATCATTCTCTTAGGTTTTCTTAGCGAGAGCAATCTCTTATCCCTGCACAGGGACTCAAACACACCGGTACTGTACACATATATATAGAGACTCTAAGTCTAAGTCTATATGCTGTACATGAGAAGCATTAAGATACCTACATACTCTGAGGTCTTTAGGCGAGGTCCCCTGCATATCACTTCCTTGACCCACTTCTCTCTCCATACTGTGCCAATGACTACACAGTGCACACTTTTAAAAACCACACCCTCCTATAGATATCTTTTCTTTGGTTAACATTTTGTGTTTTCCCCTTTTACTGTATTAACAGTCAGTTGGTGGATCTATTGACATACCTACCTTTTCTGTTTGTGTAAAGTATTATGTTTGTTTTAAAGCAGAGAGAGTATTGCATTTTTAAGAACTAGAGAAGCAAGAAGAATTGCAGTTTGAAAGCGTTTGGCCGGTTTCTTACGTTGTGTCACGTGTGACTGTTTCTTTGACAGCCCAGTATTTTAAAGCCAGGTTCGTATGGAAATGCCTTCACTCCACTTGCACTGCTGTTGGACTCGCCGTCGTTGCTTCCATCCGTCTGTCTGTCTATTCTTTTGGTGCACTTATTTGTCGTTAAACACACAGTCTGCGCCTCATCTCCGCCCTCTAATTTTTGCAAAGTCCATTCTGAACCTATCCTCTTTATCAGTGTCATCAGACACAACTGGTGCCTCGTCAAACCTGCCCTTCCTGTTTTTATTTTCTTTTTAAAATTTTGCTGAGATAAGGAGGACAAACAGATGCCTCTATAAACACATGTAAGTCAATGTCGAGCTTTCTAAGCTTGCAGAGGTTTGCAGTCATTCTGCCCTCATTGGTGAGACTTTTCTGACTATTGTAATAAAAAGAAAACATCAGCTTACAGATAGTGAAGATGCTGAGCAGAAGTATTTATCAGGCAGCTAGGGAGCTTAGGGTAGGGAGCATTCATTTTCCTCCTTTCTCAAAGCTTCAGTAGATCAGATAATCCTCAGAATCAATATAAATGATCATGTGTACAGTGTTACTGCACCATAATACTGCAGTAAGGGACAGAAGCATACCCAATGTCAGCTGGAGGGGAGGTGTTCAATGCAGCAAACTCTGCAGTGTTTTCCTACACAGTGAAGTCAGTGGATGTGTTGTCCACCAGGAAGAAGGCAACAAATGCCAATTGCCAAAAAGCCTCAAATTCTGTTTACCTTTATGTGCAGGACCTCCCAGCAGGGAAATCTTAAAAACTGTGACAGCATTTTTTATGTAGTGCATTTGTATTGTAGGCTGTCTTTTTTACACAGCAAAGATTCCTCTCTTATCTCATCTGATAGCGGGACAGGATCTGATGGTCACACAGTGCAAACATGGCTCATACATCCATGGAATGGAGGGAAAATAGAAACAGGAAGTGAAGCAGTCCAGCCTCTCTCTCGGGGCTTAAAAGCAAATATAAGACAGATCTTTTGGATATATGTATTATTCCACTTTTCATAATGGATAAGTGTTTTTTTTTTAGTAATTACTGAATGGGGCAAAGGAAGGCAACAGTTTGCGCTGAATTACCACACAGTGGTTACCAAATGGATTATGCCAAATTGATCCTTTTTGACACCTTGTGGGCAGAGATGCAGTGTGCGTGTGTGACTACCACTCCCCTTCTCAAGCACTAACCCATATAAGTCCAGCTCACCTCCACCACCCCAGAATCACACCTCCACCATGGCTCAGCCTGCTCTGTTCCGACCTCCTCTTTTGTCAAAGAGAACTAATTGAGCCCTGTTGAGCCATCACCCTCCACTCTGTGCCTGATCCAACCGAGACTAACACACTTGGAGTTTTGTTCACCTGCCCTCCACCTAAAGCCCATCCCTTCCTCTGTATGTGTACCATTCACTGTGCACTACTAACACCGACGATCCTTTTTGTTAAAAGTATTTAACAAAAAGCTGCATGCTGTTTTTTTCCAACACATTCACGTTCTGTTTGTGAAAGTTGATGTCAATCTCTTTGTGATTATAAATATCCTTTTTGTTTGGTTTGTATGTTTTTTGGTAGAATGCAGCACTCTGGTGAATGTTAGTTAAGCTTGGAATAGTTATAATCACAACATAAAAACACTGCTTATTAAGAAATCTCATTGTTTCCTTGTTTATTTGTGCTTGAAGATGTGCTGTAGTGTGTAGTGGTGGGATGGTCTTGCATTTCACTCAATGTTTTTTTTCCTGCTGACTCATACTAGTGATATAACAGTCTCAGACACATGCACATTTGGCCTCAAGTTTGCTAGAAATTCCTGTTGTGTATGTTCTCGCTCTCTCCAACCTCATTGAATCTTTATCAGTTGCCTGATCCTTTCCACAAAAATAAGTTTTGTTAACTGCTTTAACTGCATATGCATACTTTCTCAGTCCACTGTAAACATAATGATCAAGCTGCCTTTGATACATTTATACCTGCTAAAAACTATCACAAAGCTTTGTAAAGGCAATCTAGTTTTAGAGTTTAGATAGTAAAGATATGGATGATCAAACTAGATGTTTGATAATAGTAAGAAAATGTAAAAATGGTAGGGGCCAGACTATTGATAACAGACCAGAGAGGCAGGAGGTTGCTAAAGAAATGCACAACATCTATTTCTAGTACATCCAATGGGGCCACATGCACACAACGTCTCTTCTTGTTCACCTGCACACCCACATACCCCCTCACACGTGCATATTCTGTCCACCCTGGGCCTTGTAATGGTAATCCAAGGCCCACAAGCTCCACTACTATCTCTACCTCTCGCTGTATTTTTTGTGACAGCTGCATACGTTTCATGGTGCTCCCCTTGTCATGGTTACAGAATCACAGCAAGCTTGGAGTTTCTGGTCTTTGTTTTGTTGATGCAAGATTTCCATACCTGTTCTGTGTCACTTTTCTTTGTGTACTAAGATCTTGCTCTGTAGTGGTTCATATATGTATGCGTGTGATACATATATATTACCCTCTCCTTCCTCCTCCTCAGTTAGTGGATGTGACTTGATGTGTTATCTTTATCTTCCAAAACAATAGAAATACTCATGCCCAATTTATTTGCCTTTTCAAAAAGGTTTTTAAACTGCACTCCTACTGAAACTGGGTGTCCTGTAGTTTACAGGCTACACATAGCCTCATGTATCATAGTGGAAGCTATCCTTCCTATCAGTCTCCTACACCTCTATCTCCCATGTCCTCCCACCTCCCCTACTGCCCTTACCACTCCTTGTGCTGGAAGACACTGATGTTACACGCTGTAGGTGATGTGGAAAACGATAATGATGATGGTAGTGGTGGTTGTGCTGATGATAGCGTGATCTGAGTGTTTTCTTTAATTTATATGTTTGTTTTTGTTTTTTTTACCAGTGCCCACGAGGGAAAAGCTTCTCTTATTATTGGAATATTTTTGGTTTTTTTCTCCTCTTCTCTCTGCTAGGATAACATCGGGCACCGGCTGCTTCAGAAACATGGCTGGAAGTTGGGACAAGGCCTTGGCAAAACCATGCAGGGTAAGGAATCACTCTTCTCTACACAAATGTTCAATGTATGCTGGTGGTACAGGGCCACTGCCCTCTGTCATTTCTTTCCCCCTCTCATTTCCAGGTATTTTGTATCAGCAAATTTCCTTTTCTCTTCACACTCTCTTTCTGATCTCTCCCTTTGTGTCTGTTGCTATGTGAAATAGATTTTTATTTAGAGAACCATCGTTACAGTTGTTCCTGTTGCTCTCATGCTGTTGTTGACTGAAACTTAAAGAGGGAGGAGGATAACGGATGTTCATAGATGGCAGGGGCTGTGAGATGGAATTGAGTGATTGGTCATCCAATGTCGCATTTAGTTTACTGAATTTCTGATTAAAGGCGGCCTTTCAAAAATAGAAGGTTAAGTGCATGCAATTTTGTCCACATACAGTTTCTGGTTATGGTGTCATTGCTGATATGCAGCCATCTATAGCTTATATCTTCCTTAGATATTACTTTCTTCACCAAATACAAACATCTTCTGATAAATTAAAATTTTAGCTTTTTACTCTGGTTTCATTAGATACATGGGAATTAATTATTTATTATTCAGTAATGCAGAAGTGATAATGAAGATAACACAATAAACCCTGGACAAACAAATCAGCAAATATGTTGGCCAGAACTCAATGCATCATGGATGCTTCTTTGCAGCAGTATAAAGAACTTAAGTTAAGTTGAATAGACAAAAATTTTCTTTGGCCTTTTTTGGGCAAGTTATATTTACAGACTCTGACCTTTGGCGATGAAACTGTACCCAATTCACAACCAAGGCACAGGCGACAGTCTAAATTTCAGTCTGTGTGGATTATGTTTCTACTAGGTTTTACTGGGGCTTCAATGGAGGCTCTTAATGTTTGTAGTCTATTTCACTTTTAATCTCTTAAAGATGTATCTACACTACTTTAACATTGAAAGTTTGTCTAATATTTAAGATAAAAAATGATTGTCCCTTCATTATATTGAAAGACAAACCACATTAACGCTCTTTGTGCTCTGCACATGAATAAATTCTGCAAGATTTAGAATGCATTCAACTAGTTTACTAGAAAGCTTCAATAAAGAGGTTTGCTTTCTGGACATGAATGTAAATGGATGGTCTAGTGACTGCACAGAGCTGAGTGTGCAGGTTGGTCTTGGCTAACATCAGCACCTCATTAGCTCAACCCTGCTGTGCTCACAGGCTCATTGGTTCAGAGGCACTGCTGCAGAGCCCTGGCATGTGTCCACTGAGCCTCTTCCTGTCTCTTCACCCTTTTCCCACTCCTCATCTGTATCTTTATTCTCTCTAACTTTCTTTCCTTTTTTTTTTCAAAGCCTAACCCTTCCCTGTAGTTTCTCCTAAGAGGACAATGCTTAACATTGTCCATAAGTGATGTCATCACTGGCAAGCCAATGAGTCCTTGCAGTCCAATAAGAATGGAGCTTATTTTCCCTCATCATTTCTGGCGTTAATTTTGTCTATCTCCTCTACCATACTCTATCCCCTCGGTCCATACCTTTTTAACCTTGGGTCTATCTGTTCCATTTCTATAACTCTCATACAGAGATCTTTATGCCATTCATTATCTCTGTTGCTCACTTGGTCTTGCTCAAGTGCATTTCTCTCCCTATAAACCCATCATCATTTAAATGAGAAATACCTCTCATTCTGAAAAAAAGCAGCCCCTAGCATATGGCCACTGGTTTGACACATAAATAAAGGGGCCTATAAGGTGGTGTACTTCACTAAGACTGCCAATTAATCTATGTTTCTATTCCTACTTAACCAGTGGGATACATTTATAATACTTTCTTCTTTTTAATTTGTACTAAGAAGGGATTTTTATGTTTTATATGATGGAATAGTCTTGCAGGGAGGTCTGCTCATTAAGGTACCGGTATGTTTGCATTGTGTCCTTCTGATAGAACAGCCATGATATGGAGTGGTCTGGCATTTGGTCATTAAATATTTATTGTGTGAGTTCCCAGAGATGCACAGATCTTATGACAGTATCCTGGCTGCTCTAGCGCAACTTGTTCATGGTCATGAATGGCCTTAGTCCCCAGTCTCGTCTCACAGGTATGTTCAGCATGTCATTGGCCAGGCACCAAAGAAGACCAGGATGCTGTTTTATTCTGGGAAGGTTGAAAACTTCACGGAAAATAAATATGCAGTCTTACTTTCTGAGATTGGCATTTGGTGTCTGTTGTAGTTTATTTCAACCTGGTCTTGAACAGCTGAAAATCTTTTTGATGTGATAAGGATGAATGCTTTTTGCGGAGGAGAGAACACGTTGCAGGGGCTGACTGTGCTCTTGTCTTTGCCACTGGCACCACCAACGTGTGGTTATGTAAGCACCCTGCTTTGTGGGCAGATGAGACTGCGGCAAACTGTGTCCAGCTGTTGTGTAGGAATTAATGGCTCAGTGTTGGAGCCCACTATCTTAAATCAAATTAAGCAGTGCTCTAAGGAGTAGACTTGACTCACAGCACAAATGCACCTTTGCATCTCACTGAAGTCTGCTGGATAATCATTATGATCTTCCTCTCCTTTCCTGTCCTTCTGCCAGAATAGAAGGTTTTGACATTTTGAAGTGAAAGCATTGTGTCCCCTTTTTAAGTTTTCACTGTATTGACTTTGTTCTTATTCTTCTTTTGTCCCTTTTGCCCCTTTTTAGGTAAGGTTTGTTGGACCCCCTCTGTATGTCAGTATGTGTGTGTGTGGGTGTGTTTTCTTTCTCCCACTCTGCAGTTGACCTCAATGTAACATCCCTTTTACAGTATACTGTAGGCTAATGGCCTCTGTCAGCTTCCTCCTCTTTGCTTCATAATCACTAAACCTTTATTATAATCTGCACAAGAGTAAAGTGCTTTGATTTGAACAAAAAAAAAAATCCATTTGAAATCAAGATAAAATTAGGAAGCCATGATTCCATCACATCCCCTAGAATCATCTTCTCAACCTACGTTAGTTTTTTTTCCTCTTTGAGTTTCCGTTGCTGCTGTTGGGTATCTGATTGGCTGTAACCACGTATCAGACTTTGAATGGCTTGCAGAGTAGAGAAGTTTCCCCCCCTCTGCTTGTTTGCCTGTTTCTACCTCCAAACCTGTGAAAATTGTGTATGTGTGTGGTCATTATGTGGGACTGAGATGAGTGTGTCTGTTACTTACCGGGCCATAGAGTCAACTTACAGGGAAAACCTCACCACCCTTCGACATCCTGAATGTCTCTGTCCCCATGGTCACACGCTACCGTCCTCCCCCTGTTTCTTTGCCCCTCCTGCACAGCATGTTTGTCCCAGCGGTGCACTCCTGCCTGCCTAAAACTGTCGCACTCACCTGGGGCTTTAAGCAGTGTTGGAGGTAACACACTGAATAATTACTTTCACATCATGATAGAGTGAAATGCAACACCCCTGCTATTACATTTTTAAGTGTACTTTGGTAAAACTTCTGCTACACAGCAATGCAGACCCCACTCTAAGCACTGCTCAAAGCCTTGCTGGCTCTTTTCTCAGGTACATTTTATGTTATCATGTGTAAATGTGTTCTGGGGTAAAGCACATCCCAAAACAATGTTAGTTTCTGTAAGCTAGCCAAGAAATGTAGGGATATCAGGGAGATTTGCTAACAGGGCTGACAAGCATCTCTGAGGCAAAAAGCTCAAAGGGGGAAAATGGTGGTTGTCCCAAGAATCATCTTATCATCTCAGATTAGATATTTATCACATTTCTTAAATGACAAAATGTTGTCATGGCAATGTGTCTGTACCAGACACTCAAAGTAGATGTTAACTTTTGAATCCTGACTCTCCTCACAATGTACAGCTCCTCTGAAATTAATGATCTAGTGGGTTTTCCAGTCGTTCTGCTAGGCAAAAGAAAAAAGTTACTGGCACATTCTGGTTGAGAGAGCAAGATGGCTAGGCTAGGGGGGATGGGGACGCTTGTTTGGGAGAGAGTGGTGAGAGGATATCCCTGTAAGCACCTAGCCCTGCGTGAAGGGATTGGGGTGGGAGGGGTGGGGGGGGTTGACACACTGATGCCCCTCTGGTAATAAACCCATCAAAACCCAAAAGCCACACTCCCAACCCCACCCTCCCTTCTCTATGTGCCTCAATCTTCCTGCTTAACCAATTGGTGTTTCTTTTTTACAGCGATTTGATCCTGCCCATGTTGTGCTGATGGTAAACTTAGTGGTAAATGTTATTTTATCCCCCAATTGAATTGTTTTTTTTTTGTTTTTGTTTTAATTTTTCCCATTTTTTGTTTTCCTCTCATCAGAGCACCAATGCTACATAGGCTTCCAATTCTCTCTATACTAGTCCTCATTCTGCTGCTTGTATTTTATCATGCATATGTATTACTCTTAGAACATTGTCATTTTGTTTGTTTTCAGTTTTTTTTAACTTTGTGATTCACACCCTGTGATTTAGACACGCATTGTTTTTGTCTGGTCCTTTTTTTTCCACTGGAATGGGTAATGTGGAAGTATTGTCACTGTGTGCTCAGATTGGTGATAGCTGGGATGACTGTAATTGTGCATTAATCTTTAATCCTTGGCCTGGCTTGTGACTTCAGTCGGACTGATCACTGCAGTGGCTGGCTAACAAACCAACACTTCTTTGGTTTCACTTCTCCACCACTGTTGGGTAAAGAGAGAGAAGACACACAAGTCTACAAGTAGAGAGTCTTGTGATCTGTATTAAACACAATTTGTCTTCTCCTCTCACTTCATCTGTGGAATTAAGAGTCCACAGTCAAGCAATGAGTTGAGGTTTCCAGTTCAAAGCTCACCAAGCTGCCAGACACTGCAGTGGCACAGATAGTCCAAGCAGGCCATTGTGTTACAATGCCCATGCATTTATGATTTCCGAATTAATATGTCATTGGGCTGTGATGACTTACTTAGTCAGAAAAATAAGCATGTGCCAGGAAGTAGCTCCATTTATAGTATTAAGTATATTATTATCACACAAATTGACTGCAAACTCAAAACAGCTCCACTAAAGAGTGGCAGATTTGACATGGTATTAATGCCAAAGGGTTTTCACTCTATTAGAGAACACCCTGAACTGTAAGTAAGAAAAGCCACCATCTGTATTAGGCACAGGTATAAAATATATGGTTCTATCGAGCCTATTGCTTTTAGTTATTCCATATGCCCAATGGTATACACAGAAAATTGATTCATGAAAAGAAATTATTAAGTATGTGGGAGGAAAAAAACTGAAACCAAACTGAATTGATAATCACTATCAGTAAGATTGAATATTGTATTTGGCTGGCAACAGGAGCAGCAGACTAGTCCAAATTCTTTTTATGCCTTCTGTGTTGAGATTCCCCTGTCTATCTATCTGTCTGTCTGTCCTCCCCTACCTTCTCCTACCCATACCCATGTTTTACCAGGTAAGTATCCCCATCCCTTGCACTGTCACCATGGCGATACCTGGCCTGTGACGTCACTCTGCTGTAGTTCAGTGCTTGTGTCCTTTTTTTTTTAATTTTTCTGTCTTTCTCTCTGCTTTGTTTGGCTGATTATGAGTGGATTAAGCAATTCTGTGTCAATCTTCAAAGTAGTTTTGATTTTTTTTATATATATTTTATATCTTTAATGTTTCATTCTGTTTTGTTTTTGTTGATTTTTGGTTGTCTTTGGTTTTGTTTATTTTCTACAGTTAATTTCCTTCCGATCTAGCTCTTTTCACAGCTTACGTAATGTGTTTTAAATAGACAGGGGGAAGTAATCTTTTCAGCCCAAGTCACAATGAGCAAGGGGGCCAGGGACAAGGGACCACATTTGGAACTTGCAAGGGGGCTTGCAAAGGTCAGCCAGCCTGCAGACATTTCAGAAAGAGATGATGCAATAGACTTTAGATACTATTGGGAGGCTTTGTTCCCCCATGAAGGATGTCGCAGTGTTGTTCAGTGAGCAGTGGCAGCAGTTGTGCAGGCCTGCTGCAACTCCTTTTATACACACACACACACCAAACACATTGTCCCTCGAGCTGTAGTGTCCTTGATAAAGCAGGCATTCTGGTTAAATAGGACTGCAGCAATGCCTGGGTAAAAGAGGGGGGTGGTGGGTGGTGCTACACTGCAGATCTAGAAACAGATTGGTTTAAAGCTGAAAGTCTTGTTTCTATTGAACTTCATCTTCTAATGAACGAAATAGTGCTCAAAACACTGATGCCATTTACTTAAAAATGACACCTGTAGCTAATTTGAGTTATTCAAAATGTAAATCAGCAGCCAGGTTAAAGGAATGATAGATCAATTGATTGATACTTGATGGCTGCAGTAAGCTGTGAGAATGGCTGGTGTTTGGTTCACTGTAGCTTTCTGGTCTCTTTGCACTTCAAGGCAAAATTCTCTAACCCCAGCACCCTATGCTCTAAAAGCAGGCTGTCTCCGAGCTGGTCCTCTGTCCCAGTCTCAAAAACTCACCAGTCCTCTCTCTGTCTCTTTTACCTCAGGACGCACCGACCCTGTGCCCATCGTGCTCAAATATGATGTCATGGGGATGGGACGAATGGAGATGGAGGTATGATGCTGTTTTTTTTAATGCACATCTTAATAAGATTTTGTCTCAATAAGGACATGCTAGACACAACAGGGAATTAAAACTAGCAAAACCTCATGGACCCATAAAAAAAAATTACCAAATATTAAATCTTATAATATAGTGCTTTCACACTTGCAGAAAACTTCTGATATTTCCAGGAGGAGCTGTACATGTGAACGCAAACAGCCAAGTTTTTTCACTTGGACTTTACCCAGAGTCTCTCCTGCCAGCTTCCCAGTATTTTTTTCTACAACAAGTCTGAGTGAGCTGATGTGAGAATGCAACAAGATATTACTGACCGGAGTCACTGCATAGACTGTATGACCGAGACTTCTACGATCTCTGTTATTTGAATGGCTGCATTGTGTTCTGTACTCCAGTATTTTCTTCTCCGCTCTTTTGTTGATAATGTTATTCTGTTGAGCTACATGTAGCATTGATATAAAGACAAATTCTGTCATTATAGTGTCGTATAGCGGACTCTGTTGCTTCGTCCTCTACTTCTGCATCGGTTTTTTTACGTCATGTCCTAACTCAGGAGATCCCCTGTCCCCTCTCCCATCTGACAGGGATACCCAAACCCCCTTTGAGGTGCATATGTAAACAGCCAGGTCAGGAGAATATCTGGAGCAGTCCTCCTGAAATTATCCATATATATGCAGGAGTGCATATGTGAAAACAGCTATATATATTTCAAAGGCTGTCCTTGGTTGCATACTCACAAAGGACTTCCAAAGCCTCTTGAAGAATAATTGGCATCCATGTCCAAATTCTGAAGTTATTAATCCTGTAAACTCTTCAAATTCCAGAGAATTTAGTTTTGAGTTCTCTAATCAATTTTTTGTCATTTCAGTTGGATTATGCAGAGGATGCCACAGAGAAGAGAAGAGTGCTGGAAGTGGAGAAGGAGGACACAGAAGAACTACGGCAGAAATACAAGGTAAGCCCCCCCCCCCTTTTTTTTTTCTTCTGGGATTCAAAAATAAATCTTAAAAGGAAACAGGAGAACAGCACTCTACTATCTGTAGTTTAGTGGTTTCTTCTGCACTTTAAGATTAATTCACTCTTGTGTTTTTCATCAATAAAAGGACCAGGTGGAAAAGGAGAAAGCCATTGCAAAGGCTCTTGAAGACCTGAGAGCAAATTTTTACTGTGAGCTCTGTGACAAACAGTACACCAAACACCAGGAGTTTGACAACCACATTAACTCCTATGACCACGCTCACAAGCAGGTACTTGTGTTATCATTTCTTATGCTTTTGTGATCACTTGACTGTCTGTTTTTTTGCCTGTGAGAGAAGCGGTCCAGAATTTTTCAGTCACTTATTTGCTTTTGTCTTTTTCAGAGGCTGAAAGAGCTCAAGCAAAGAGAGTTTGCACGTAATGTGTCATCACGTTCCAGGAAAGGTGGGAAGAAGCAAGAAAAGATGCTGCGCCGTTTGCATGAGCTTGCTGAGCTGAGGAAACAACAGAACCGGTATGGATTTGTTTCCTGAGTGCCCTCTGCTGGCCAGTTTTGTGTCCCTTGGTAGCACAGTTGCACATTTTTTATGGTGCAATGGATCACTGTTAAAATGTTTGAGCAAAAAAGCGCATATCTTAAAACAAATATAGATTTAATGTTATTGTAATAATTTGCTCTCACAGCAGTTCAAAACTATTAATTTCCATGCATATTTTTTTGTTTCACAAAATAATGTCAGACTTCTGAATTCTTATACTTAAGACCATCAGGACATTTTGAGGCCCTTTGTGAAGACAAACGCAACATCCAAGTAATTCTCCTGTTGAACTGTCACTGTAGTTGTGTCTAAAATATTTGCAGTTGGAAACATTTTATACTGTCTCACAGTTATGATGCTTTTGTTTTTCAGTACTCCAGGAAGTGGGCCCATGTTCAAACCTACTACAGTCGCTGTAGACGGAGAAAAGGCAGAAGATAGTGATAACGTGACGCTTGAGAACCCAGCTCTGACGGAGAGTGTCCAGGAAGTATCACTAACTGATAGAAGTGAGCAAGCCTCCCCAAAGCCAGCATCAACTATCAGCTTCTCTTTTGGCAAGAACAGTGCCTCCTCCCCAACCTCCAGTGCTGCATCCAAAGTAAGCGTGTCCTTCTCTTTTGCCAAGAAAGCCCCCATGAAGCTGGAGACAGCAGCAGCAGTGTTTGCTGATCACGGGGAGGAGACTATGGAGGAAGAGGAGGGCCAAGAAGGAGAAAAGGCTCTAGTGCAGGAGGAGACATCTGGCTGCAGCATAGACAGCCCTAAGGAAGGATCAGTGGGAGGTGAAGTAGGAGGAGAGGTCAGTATTGTTGTAGCTACAGAAGAGGAGCAGCAGGCTGATGATGGAGCCTCTCTAGCCTCCACCCTAAACAAACTAAAGATGATGATGAAAAAAGAGGAAGGATATGCTGGACAGGAGCCTGAGTACTATCACTACATACCTCCAGCCCACTGCCGGGTGAAGCCTCACTTCCAGTTTCTGCTTTTTATGAAGGCCACTGATCAGTGTCCGAGCAAAGAAGAGGAAGATGAGGAAGAGGGGTCGGAGGAGAACAAGGATGAAGACTGCGTGGGACAGACAGAGCCCAGTGTTACAGAGTGCAAGACTGAAAACAAGATAACGTCACAAGATAACGTCACCTCAACTCCTGATCCAGAGCTAGCTCCGCCGTCTCCTAAATTGAAGACAGATGACTTGTCGTCATGTGCAGCAGATGCAGCTTCCATTGCACCCACCTCCCCCGCACAAAAAACAGAGAGCACACAGGATGCTGAAGATTCAAGGTCTGGTCCTAAAATCCCCACAGGTCCCTTCTTCCCAGTTCTGAGCAAAGATGAGAGCACCACCCTGCAGTGGCCCTCTGAGCTTCTTGAATTCACCAAAGCCCAACCTTCCCTGTCTTACAGCTGCAATCCCCTCTACTTTGACTTCAAGCTGTCACGCAACAAAGGAGCGCGCGGTGGTAAAGCAGCAAAGTCCCCCAAGCCATGTGAAGGGTCCGAGGACAAGGGCCAAGAGATAACCACGTCCACAAATGAAGCAGATACAACTAAACCTGGGACCAGCACTGACAAAGACAAACCAATGATGAAGGGAGAGCCAGGCCAACCAGAAGGTGATGAGCAAAAACCTGCAACAGGTAGCACTAATGCCAAGAAGAAGAAGAAAAAGAAGAAGCATAAGAAGTCCGCAAAGCACTCAAAGCGCAAAGAAAAAGAAAAAGGGACTAAAGAAGCAGCAGAGGGAGAGACTGAGGCAACACAGGAGAAGCCAAAAAAGAAGAAAAAACACAAACGGAAGAAGAACAAAAACAAGGCACCAGATCAAGATGAGGCAACAGGTGATGAAAAATCCAAACCAAAGTCAGAAGACAAAGCTGTTGCCTCTTCTGTTCAGCTGACAACTGGAGGGGGAGGGTCTACAGAAAATACAGGAACAGAAACAGGGAAGAGGAAACGTCCTGCTAAGGAAGTGCCTTGTAAGTCTGGAGCTGATGAAGGAGCAGCTGGTAAAGGCACTGAGAAGGTCAACTCCTCAGAGGAGCACAGCGGTACCAAGAAACAGAAGACTGACTCCAGTGCATCTAAAAGTGCCTCCTGCTCTACCTCGGCCCAGAAGAGTCCCGGTCCTGGTCGACCTCCAAGCAGTGAGAGTGAAGAAGAAGGGGGTTCCAACACTCAGCGCTCACGTCATCATAGGTCAAGTCCTCGGGAACAACGGCGCCACCACAGTGAGGAATCGCGGCGCTCCTGCAGCCGCTCCTCGAGACGTGGGGAAAGACGGGGCAGCAGTCATGGTCGCCGCCGTGGCAAAAACTCCCGTAGTCACTCTTATTCCAGCAGTTCTGAGCGCTCCTCAGCAGGCAGTAGTGCGTACAGCCACCGCAGCCGTAGCTACTCAGACAGCTACAGCGACTACAGTACAGAGGGTCGAAGACGGAGGCACTCCAAACGCTCATCAGATTCTGAATATGAGCGGAGGGGCAGTCGAGGGCGTAGACGATCAAGGAGACACAAGTACTCCTCCTCCTCCTCTGAAGAGTCACGTTCACGTTCACACAGTTACAGCCGTAGGAAGAGGCACAGGCGGCACCACCGGAGCAGTTCCAGAAGCTCTAGCAGTTGGAGCCGCAGCACAAGTGCAAGATCCTGGAGGCGCAGTTACAGTCGAAGCCGCAGCTCAGGTAGCCGCTCCTCTAGCTCCACCAAAGGCTCCCCTCGTCGAAGAGCCCCCCGTGGTCGAGCTGACAGTGACACACAGCGAAGAGACTTCAACCGCTCTCACATCTACCGCTGCCAGTCTCCCCGCTCGTCTTCATCGCGAGCCTTAAACCGCAACACACATTCATCAAGCTCACATGGTCTAAGGTCAGGAGGGTCCCGAGACGCAGGGGAACAGAAAAACAGCCTTACTGCTCGCCAGCTATTGGAGAAGGTTCAGTCTAAGAAAAGCTCTGATGATTCTTCCACAGGAACAAAATCTGGATCAAAGATTAAGGACCCACCACTGGGCTACTTCGGTCCCAAACTACCCCCGACCTTGGGAAACAAATCCATGCTGCCACTCTTTGGAAAGCTACAGGCAGGGAAAAAGCCATTGATCCCCCTCACAAGACCAGATGACGGGGACAAATCAGGAGCAGGGAAGAGCTCTGAGGCTGAGCAAGAGGTTTTCCTAGTAGAGCCTATTAGGGAGTTCCCCCCTCCACCACCACCTCCAGCTCCACCCATTCAGAAGGTTGAGGAGGCCCCACAGACCGCAGTGGTTCAGGAAGAAAGTCAGCACCCCACCGCAGAAGCCCAAGTGCACGCAGAACCACGACCATTGTATGAACAGGAGCCTTCAATGATGTTACCCCAGTACCAAGGTGAACCAGGACATGACCCTTCTCAGAACCCCATGATGGAGTCTCTCATGCCAGAAATGCAACAGCAGCAGCCACCAATGCATGCCTACCCTGCTTACCCACCACCAAGCCTGGAGGAGGACGGCATGGAGGCCGAGGAGGATGGACTGGCTCCTTTGGAGAGTCAGCCTATTACATTCACTCCAGAGGAGATGGAGAAATACAGCAAGCTTCAGCAGGCCGCACAGCAGCACATCCAGCAGCAGCTATTAGCTAAGCAGGTAAAGACGTTTCCCTCTGCCGCTGCTGCTGCAGCAGCTGCAGCAGCTGCTGCTAACTTGGCCCCAGCCCCCCCTCAACCCACCCTGCAGCAGATCCACATACAGCAGCCCACAGTGTCTATGGCCTCAGGCACTTCCATCACCACTGTGCAACACGCCATCCTGCAGCATCATGCTGCCACTGCTGCAGCCATGGGCATACACCCAGGTCATCCCCACCACCCACATCCTGCACATGCACAACTGGCCCAGGTACACCACATTCCCCAGCACCACCTAACCCCCATATCCCTTTCTCCTTTGGGACACTCCCTCGGTCATTCTCTGGGACACTCATTAGGACATGCTGGTTTGATTCCTGCCCACCCGACGGCCTTCTTCTCTGGTCAACCCATTCACATTATACCGGCTTCTGCACTTCACCACACCCCTCTTGCTCTGCACCATGTTCCACATGCCCTCTACCCCACACTCTTTGCCCAGCGGCCCTCACAGGCTGCTGCTGCAGCAGCAGCCCTCCAACTTCACCCACTGCTACATCCAATCTTTTCAGGGCAGGACCTCCAGCACCCACCTAACCATGGCTCTTGAGAAACATACCAAGTAAAGGAGTGTAGTCACAGCATCCAATCACTGGAAGAAAGACTTTTCAAGAACCATCTTGGTTTAAAGATGAAGTCTTTATGACACCATGCAGGCATTGAGACAGGAAACTGTCAATAAACCACCATGTTACTGGCCTACACAGTGCAGCTAGTTTTGGCCACAAAGTGGTTCTGCCTGTGATTGGACAAAATTGTCACTGACTATTTTTCTGCCTCATATGAGATTTTTCTTTTCATACTTTGCCCTGACTTTGTAAAACGGGGAGTATATTGAAATAGACTTAATCAAGAGGCTGGTTTATATTCCAGGTTCAGGTATATAGACACTGAAACTACTGGATCCTTTTTCCACATAAAAATATTACTCTCACTCTTTTTGGCAGCCAAAAAGAGGAATACTGGCTCACAAATGAAGCAGAATCATGTTAGGAGTAAGTAGTTTTGTTGTAACTGCTTGGATTCTGTTACCTTCTGAAACAGACTATTTCATGATTACGGATACTCTGTTAATGTTCTAATAAGACTACTCGCTCTGTTGGACTCATGGTCTAAAGTGATTTGTTATGAAGTAACTTGTACATATATCAGTGTGTAATGTGAAGAATCCCACCAATGATGACCATTTGAAACTATAACTATGGAGTCCAAATCTTTACAACATTGTCACATAGGATCCCCTCTGTAAGCAAGGGGCAATGTGATGTGAGGGGCAGGGGGGGGGTTCAACATACCTTTCGCCCAGAGGCAAAGCTCATGTTCCCTGTGGTGAAGGAACACCTGAATGAATTGCACTGAAATATGTACATGGAAGTGGTGCATTTGCATCCTGTAACAATAAGATTGTAGTATACTGCAATAATTGTATTTTTCTGTTTTTAAATTATTTTCTAAAATGCTCTTATAAAGAAGAGCTGAGTTTTTGCTTTTGTGTAATTTTGTAAATAAAACTGCTCTAGATTAACCTATTAACATTCTAGAGGTTGAGACTGGCATTGGAAAAAAAAAAAAAAACATAATTAGAGGACAGACGTGTGTGTATTTTATGAAGGTTGTTAACAAATGACCCTGGCTGGGCTGGCAAAAGAAAAAGAATCATCTGTCAAACAGTAGCAACTCTGTATTTTTTAAACTTACTGTTTCAGCCAATAAAATCTTGAGTCCATGTGTTGTTTCCCATATGTGGTTATTAAATGTTAAATCTATCATTAAACCAGTCAACAGTAACAATATAAAACAACCTGTATCACTTCATCTGGTACAACTTAAAGATCCTTGCAGAGGTCTGTGTGCAAATGAAACACTAGATGGTGCCCTAGTTACCCAGAATAGATATGTGAAGTCTGTAAATCCATGTTAACATCAAGTGTTGACTCTAGCTAGCAGCGATGCAAAATGTGATATCATACCATGTCTCTAGCTTAGTCAGCAATATAGCAAGGAAATGAAAACGTGTCATTTTATTAAGAGAACAAATCACTCACACAGTGAGACTAGACAGAAGCATACATCCAAGAAGTGTGTAACAGTTTCAAAATAAGTGCTGCTTCTGTTGATTTCTGACAGATTATTGTTGTCAGCCTTTAACTACACATACATGATAAAATAGATTATTAAGGGTGAACCTTTATGTTGAAATGCAAAAAGTATCATGGAGCCATACTGCATTTATTTCTTTGTAATTCTCTTTAAACTGCTGACGGGAGAATGACGGACAACATTGCTGACTGATTCAGGAAGAGGAAATGTAGCTTTTCTCGGGAGGCGAAAGCAAGTTCAGTAGAGAGATCAGTTTAGGTTACAGGAGTCGCAACAGTGATTAGCAGTTGAAGAGTGGTTCTGGTTTAAAAAATAAAAAGAACAGGGAAGCAGCAGCAGACTTAATTTAAAGTTCAATGCTCTCGCGGGGCCTCACGTGGAATAAAATACTATAAGGAAGTTCTTCAACCATGCCCTTTTTTCAATTGAACATTTTTTTTTTTTTTTTTTAAATAGCTGAAAACAATGGCACAATGAATCCAACGATAACCTCAATCGGATGTTCTGCCACTTTTCATATCATGAGGGATGATGTGCTGAAGAAATGTCCGCAGCTGATCAAAAAGTGTCATTGATTTGATGGTTGGAGGTTAGCCCAGATATCTGACCACCAGGAAGATGAAGACGCAGGTCACCAGCATGCCTCCAATCATGATGAACTTATCTTGGGTGGCTCGCCTCTCTATCAGCCTCATCACTGTGTTGGACAGCCCTAACATGTTGGCCACGTCCAGCATCTTCTTATGAGTGCCCTGTGAAGAACCAAAACAGAAGGGCGTGCAAACACTGGTGAGTAAGTGTGCTAGACTGTACTACTACAGCAATACATGGAGTGTTTTGGAGAATTCAGACAATACATGACGACATGGTAATTATCTACACTAATTCATCTGATTTGTGGAGACGTGGAGAATCAACGCCCTCCCTGACGCGCCAATCTGTCAGAGGTTACTCATGGCTAAACAACAGGGCAATAGACACACCCTGATAAGAGGAGGCCTGAAGCATAACCAGGAAGACCATCTCCTCCCTGGAAACACTGAGCATTCTCACAGTAACAATGAGACTGTTGAGATCAATGTGGACACCCGAAACTGGGTCAGAAACAGAACTTTCCACAAATCCTCTGTATTAGCTCCCTTCTTCAGGAAATTAAATAAAACTACAAAAAAAAAAAAAAAAAGTGAACAGTCTTGGCAGTGCTACAGATGGATCATTTAACTGTCTGCACACACCTTCAGCGTAGATCTTTGATCTCTGAGGCCGTTCAGGATGCCACTAGCGCTGCCCACGAGGTCGTCCATGCCTCTGTGTGCATTGTGCAGGTTGGAGTTTAACTGTAGGGTCTCATCCATTGGAATGGAAGTATCTGCATCCTATTGAAGAAGAACAAACTCTTTATTTTATTTTTTTTTCAATTCAATGTTAATTAGTATGTCATACGGAGGAAACTAGCTTAGGCACATTTGACTCACATTGGTGGTGAAGGTTCTGCTCATGAGTTCCTCCCTCTCTCTATCCTGGATCTCTCTGGCATAGCGTCGGTGCTGGAAGTTTTGCAGGGCCGTGCGAAGGTGTTGAACGTCGTATTTAAGCTGGTCCACTCGTCTAAAAGAAAGCAAAAGGATGGTTTAAATGTATTCCACTTTCTTTTGACACTTGCTCACCTGATTTTTTAAAACAGTGCGTCACTGCATCTCCTCTCATACAGTCTTTGCTATTCAAAATTGTTCTAGATAATGAGAACATGTCTCCCCTCAAATATCATGCAGTTGGAATGAAAAGCTTCTCACAGTCTCTCCTATACGTCACTCTGGCCCTACTTGAGCTCTGCAGAGATCAGAGGAGTGCTTTATGATGGGGTGCTCTTTGTCCCCTAAGGCCTGTTTACCCAGATTAGAAATGAATCTTTGCCCAATGCAGCAGGAATGCTGGTGATGACGGGACTTCTAAGGAAATGTTTTCATAGACCCATGTTGCCACAGGGCAGAACAGGGCTGTCTGTCTCATATTTTACACCCTCCCTCTGACTTTGTAAGACACAGCGCACCCTGCCAGCTTTGGAGCTGCAGGATCATCACCTATAGTTCACTAATTCCATACTCACAATTTGGCATTCTGCCGGCGGTTTAGTGGTTCCTTGCTGGCTAGGATCTCAAGTCGTTCTAAGTGATTGAAGATCTGGTCAATTCTGGCCTGCAGCTCGTTCTCTAACACTTAAATAAGGAGGAAAGAAAAAGAGACAAATTCTAAAACAGCAGTGAAGTAAGAATGATTACAGGAAGGTATACACACACAAATATTTCCCACTTGTAACTTCCCTAATTAATCATTTTGTTCTTTGTTAGATGTAATACATTTTTAAGTTACTCTTTTTACTTTTCTGACCTCAATCAGTTATTAGTTTGCTGAAACCTTGTTAATTTCAGGGTGAGTGCAGTTGTACCTTTTTTTTCACCAAGATCAAGTATGCGACATTGCCCTCTGTTAAAACACATGTTAATTACACGATTTAGGAAGGAAAGGTTGGCTAAAGGTTGTCTACTGCCTGGCTCCCACCATTATCTAGAAGAAGCCCTCCCAGCTTCTGTCACTGCACCCACCCTGCTTCTTCCTGTCCTGGCACCAGCCAGGCCCCAACCACACAAAACAATAAGCATGGGAGACACCGGCCCGTCCTCCTGTCATTACATCAGAGCAGCCATAACAAGTCTGGACTGTACAGAAATTAAGACACCATTCAAAAGCAAACAGACTGGTGGGAGCATGAACCCAAATAGTAAGTCCCATAACAATACTCACACACAGAGCAGTGGGAGATAACAATGTGCCTGTAACCCAAAGTAAATCATGTGCAGCTCTCTACTCACAGTGTACTGACTCACGATCCGTCCTCTCCAGATCTCCCATAAGAGACTGCACCTGTTGGATGTGCCTAATCCGGAACACACACAACATTAGTGAATGGGATCCCGACATATGGTACCGATATTCTAATTGTTAAGATTATTATTTATTTATTTTTAAACTGAAACTCAGTCTACTGTAAACATCACGAAGTTCAACGAAAAGCTATGTGAACATATTATAGACCAAAAGCTCAATATGCTTAAATCGGTTTTCTACAATCACGGTTTAAGGTAAATCAGCGGTAATTAGCTTGTATAGTAACACTTACACGCATATGAAGAGAATCTACACATTTTCTACAGACGACAGACGCACTCACTTGTTTGTCTGATGATAGAGCGTCTCCATCTTCAGTACTGAGTTGAAACGCTGTGTTTATCTCTTTCTATTAGAACGTTACCTTTACTTCTGACAGGTAGCTAGCTAGCTAACGGTGCTAGGGTGTACACGTCATCAGCAGAGCGTTTGTGTACGGAAACAGCGAAGCGGAAGCTGTGCGGCGTCACATTAAAGAGGGAAGAAAAAATGAAGAGGGCTCACTCCGAATCCATTTACAGACGCAGATTTTATGGCCCGTTATGTTTCAACCTGTTTTAAACCAGGGTATAACTGCATAACTAATAATGCAGGTTTAATGAAGTCAACAAGCTCGACAAGTTAAAAACATTTATAAAGCAAGAACGTAGTGCAATATTGAAAAGAGTAGGCTAAAGGATGCTTTCGATGCTTAATATTTACAGTCAATGTTTTGACGCTAAATATGTAGTTGCAGCTTTTGCCTCGAAGTTTCGTTTCGTGTATGTTTGTAACCGACACTTTTTTAGGTAAATACAATTTTACTTTTTATATCTGAAATTATCACTGAGTTGAGTTCTATGTTTGTCATGGAGTTCTATGTTTGTCATGGTGCTCTGTATTTACGATCTTTGGCCCAGACATTAGGCTGCGGTAACAGAAACACCACCTAGTGTCGGAGAAACTAAGTGACATGGTAAGAAACCAAATATAAAGTCTTGTTTTTTAACTCCATGAATTTACTCTTTAGTTTTGACACTAAATGCTTTCACGAGTTGTAACAGGACACTTAATTTATTTATTTGTTTGTTTATTTAACATGGACATACTGTAACATTGGTGCTGTAACATTTAACCATGCACAAGTTCCAGTTCCCTTAGTGTTTATAGCAAAGTGCTAATTTGCAACACCTTAATGTAAGTAGTAAATGTCGTGCAGACACTGAGTCACGTATGTTGGTTAATGGAGAAGTCAACATTTCTGTTAAGGTTAGGCTACAATTTATTGCAAAACTTCCCAAATTTAAACCTAAGCTGTAGGCTGTATTTCCATTATATCTGATATTCCTTTGAAATTAGTGTCTGACAGGTGTGGTAGCAGAGATCCTTTCTCTACCAAGATGAGCTGTGAGGGCATGGAGCATAATCTGTTGACATGTAGACATGTGACAGGAAAGACTGTGAAACATGTCCCGGGGCCAGCTTTTGTCAGCTCATTCCAATTCGGTCTAATTAGGCTATCCTCTTTTTCCACAGATAGGTGTCAGAATGTCTCTTGTATGGACATCCAGAAGCTTCCTGTTCGTCTGCAGTAGGAGACACTAAAACTTAAGATATCAAACTTTTTTTTCATTTTGAGGTGAGATGATCACTAAATGAAGGGTGTCAGGTTGTGTGTCAAGTTTCCCCATCATAGCTTAGTTAGACACAGAGTGCTGTGCGGAAGTGGCCTGATTTGATTTCGTGAGAATTTCACAATAGTTCCCTGGTGATTATTGGGAGGAAAATCCTCCTGAGGCGCTACCTGGCAGGCTGGCACCTTAACAAAACCACATCTCAATCACCTTGTTGCAACCCTGCATCACAGTCGGTTCTGTCTGCTAAACTGAGAGAGGGGAAGACCAGCGAGCGAGAAATGTAAATTCATGCACCTTTGACCTGTTTAGTGCACTCAACTGATTCAAGCTCCTGTTTGCGAGTGGTAGCTGTGTTTGTTTACCTCTTTCAGCACAGCAATCAGAACATGGCCCAGACAGTTCTCCTGTGCTGCCTGATGCTACTTGAGTTGATGGTTGTTTCTTCAGGCTAGACACTTCTCATCGGAGGTCCTTTTTCAGCCACCCCCACATGTCAGAAACCTTGAGATCTGTTCATGCCAATTCTTGCTCTCACTGCTCACCGTTTTTTTGTTTTTTTTTCGGTTTTCATAACACATCCTCAGGGCAGCACAGCTTTTACCTGTTACTCAGAGTGTTGAAAAAGTAAAGGAGGAATAAGACCTCTCAAACCATTTACATAAACAGTACATGATGCAGATTCAGCTCCATCACACTCTCTCTCTCTCTCTCTCTCTCTCTCTCTCTCTCTCTCTCTCTGTCTATCAAGGTCATGGGGTTCCTTCTGTCTGTCCTTTATCTTTCAGCCCTGAGGAAAGGATGAGATGAGCTTACTGGTTTTCCTGCACACCTGAGCACCACAGGCACAAACTGGAATCCAGACTCCAGGTGCAATGCACGATCACACCACTCAGACTGACCAAGAGATCACGTGTGGTAACACCGAGTTTGATATACCAGTGTCTGTACCAGATTTTAACACACGTTATTTGCAAAAGTAAGATAATTCTCACGGAGTAATCCCGGGGAAAAGTTGTTTTAGCACCATATGGAAGATTTTCTTTCCGCAGATTACGATTCTTACAATTTGCTATGTGTAAATCTTCGTTATTAACCACATATTTTCCTGGGAGCACATGAGCTTTCGTGTCTCGTAGGTTACTCAGGATCTTTTACCTGCTTTTTGTTAAGCGTCTTGAGGTAACACTAGTTGTGAATACAGATTTTTAAGATAATCATTATAGTTTCTAAGATAATCATTGTAAATCTAGGTATTCATTTTTTGGTACAGATCTACAGCTGTGAGATGCAACATTTAACAATACCATGCTGTTAAAACAAAGAACTACAAATAAAATCCTGCAGCTGCTTTTGGTGAAAAACCCTATGATCAATATTATCAGAAAATATTGACTTTAGTATCAAAAGTACTCATTAAACAGCCACATTTAGAAGAACAGCCAAAGGCATTTTGTTCTTTAAAATGAAATATAATCTTTTTTTTTTTTCTTTGAAAGATTTATTTTTGGGCTTTTTGTGCCTTTAATGGAGAGATAGAACAGTGGATAGAGTTGGAAATCAGGGAGAGAGAGTAGGGAATGACATGCGGGAAAGGAGCCACAGGCCGGATTCGAACCTGGGCCGCCCGCTTGGAGGACCATGACCGCCATACATGGGCTGTGCGCACTAACCACTGTGCCACCAGCGCCCCGAAACTTCACTTTTTAATGTTTTCAAGGAAAGGTTAGCTCTAACATCTTTGTTAAGCTGTCGGTTATTCAAATCTATTACAGTGAATTCTTCCTGAATAACTTGAATAGATACTCCAGTTTGTCATTGCATATTAAAGCTGTTAGAAAATGAAGTTTGGCAGCAGTCCGCTTCCACAGCAGCTGAGTACTTAGAAATAATAAACTTACTGGTTTTCCGCCACTAATATTAGGACTGAATTGATAAAGGACATAGTGGCACATATGGCCACTATGTGGATCCAGATGTAGGAATGTGTATTTTGTTGTGTGTGTGTGTGTGTGTGTGTGTGTGTGTGGCCACCTCACTGGATCGTCTAAGAATGCTATTTTCTGACGCTTGGCTTTGAGTCTTTGGGGGTTTTGCTGGAACCAACCACAATTTAGCCCTGGATCAGTCTCCTGTCCGGGTTAGACCACTTGGCAGCAGAGTTATTGTTTGGTAGGTTGGTATAAAGCGCTCAGTGTATTCTCTAACTACCCCCTACACGGAAAACTGTTTAGTTCATCAAGAGAAAATTACAAGGGACTGAATCACTCCAACACAATGTACTTATTGATGTATTCTAGGCAATATAACAAATCATAACTCTCCAATGATTGCCCAAGACAGACAGTGAAGACGGCAATTATGAGGGGCAAAATCGCCTTGGGTCAACAGTTTTTGGATACCAGTCATTTTTTGTAGGCATGCTGATCTTCTCACTCCTCCCCCGGGGGAGATGATCCACTCGTCTTTGAAGCTGTGATGGGACGCTGAATGAAAGCAAATGAGGGCCTGTCAGAGATGACAGGAGAAACTCATAAGCTCCCAGGGTCTCGGTGGGTTCTGATGGGAAAGGGGTCCAGAGGCGAGGCAGAAGGGTTGCAAGTGGCTGCACAGGAGGTTACTAGGAGAAGAATCTCTGAATGAAGTTGTGAATGCTAACAATGTTTTGTTGTAAAGTAAATTAAACCACAAAAAGGAGACTCAATACAGATGAAAAATCAGTGCAACAAGGCATGTAAAGGCCACAAAGAGATGCAAAACAAACACAAGGAGACTCAAATATCCCCCTTAGACCGTCAAAATGACAACAAAGATGCAAAAAAAATTGTATCCAAAACTGAAAGAAAGACATGTAATTTCCAGAAGAGACTTTAATGTAACACAAAGAGTTCCACGGTGACCCAGAAAAGATGCAACACAAACTAAAGGAGAATACAAATGTCAACAAGGAGGCAAAGAAAGACACAAGACCGCCACAAAGAGACTCAAAATTACGACTGTGAGAGGCAATACGACAAAGTAGAGATGCAAAGTGACTAAAAAGTTCAAAATAGGCTCAGAATGAAAACAGGCACAAAATAAATAAGAAAAACAGTGACGCTGAACAACCACAAAGAGGCACAAAATGACGAAGCAGAGATTTATAATGGCTGGAGAGAGATGCAGAATGATGACAAAGAGATGGAAAATCGCTTCAATGGAGGTAAAACTGTTTATAGATCCCAAGTGACTACTAAGAGAAATAAAAAATGGATTCAAAAACTGCCACGAAGAGACACAAAATGACTGCAACGGGATACAAGACGACCATAAAGACACACATAATAAATGATGCAAGAGCCCTAAACAGAGACACATGGACACATATAAAAAGAGGTTAAACAAAGAAGTATGGATCCGAAGTGATCAAAAAGGTGCACAAGTTCACCAATAGAGCAAAGAATCACGACACGGTGTATCACAAAGAGTCAAAATGACCAGGTAGAGATTTTAAATGACTTCAGAGAGATGCAAAGGGACAACAAAGAGATGCAAAACAGATGTGAAAAATGTAAAACCACTGCATAGCAAAGCTAAACAGCTGTTTCTAACTGCCAGATGACAAAAAAAAAGGGGGGAAATAAATAAATAAATATGGGCCCAAATTACAAAGAGTCTTGCAATTACCACAATGGGATGCAAAGAGATATTACAACAAAAGTTGATTATTGACTATTCATCGACTCTCTGCCCCGCCATGGTTCCTCCATTTGAATGTTTGTAAACCCTGCCCTGAAAAGGTGTTTTAAACTTCTCTTCTTCTCTCTGGAATGGAGAAAGACTTTCTTGTGAGAGAGAGTGATCAGCCTCATTGTTTCCCGCTGTAGTTTTCCCTACCTGCTTTATTTCAGACGGACCACACAGAGCAGAGAGGGATCATACAGCTGTCAGAACACTCACACACAGCCCTGTGGCCATACCACCTGTGACATCCAGACCTCGGAGGATGAGAGATGCTGTCGGTCACTGTGGTTGGATGACAGCTCAGCCGGGATGGGAACACAAACAGCAACATGGCACGGAGGACTACGCTGTGCTTCCCCCTGCATGACAGCTTCCTACCCACAGACATGCACCCACTCTCAACCGCACTGTCATGATTAAGTCCTGTTTGTGATGACACATTATTCGGTTCCTGAATCCTTAAATGACAGTGTTGATTCAGTAAGTTAAAGCGCTTAAGGAAATCAATCGAACAGAAAGCACTTGTGTAGCACAGACAACATTCCAGACGTATATTCTTGAGATGTTCCCGCTTGAGAGTACACATAGCTCTGCTTTTATCTGTGTTTTTCCTCTGTTGGACATTGTTGATCTGGGAAAGTTTTGTTTTGGATGTAATGGAGGTCAATGTGTTTGTGTGTGTGTGTGTGTGCAGCTGGGATAAAGGCACAGGAGTGCCTTCTATTGAGAATAGGGAGTCAGTTATGAAGGTGCATGAGGTCTTATCATGTCCTATCACAGCAGCTGAAATGTAAACCCTGCAGTTATTGCTGCAGGTGTTTCTGTCGGGCAGCATGGGAACAGCCTCCCCCAGGAGATTCCCAGTGAAGGTGGCTCACAATGAACTAGTCAAGTGGGATAGCGTTTTACACTGGCGGGGTGTACAATTCTGGTAAACACTTCTTGAGCATCAGGCTGTTCTGACGCCTGCTTTATGCTTTGTCTGTTTGCCAGCAGTTAGCCACATCCTCAAGCATCCAGCCCCCGCCTTACCTTTTTCTGAATCTGTCTTTGCTTCAATTGAGAAGTTTGCTTGTTGAAAACTTCAAACACATATATTTGAATGTTATACACTCTTGTCGCCAGTCATTTGGTGTCTCTTGGTAAACAGACACTGCGACAAAAATGTACAGTTAGCTTCACTATTAATAAAGCTGTAGATTAGTTTTGGATTCATCATTTGGTCCATTAAATGTAAACAAGTGTCTACAGCCATGTTAGCAGCTCATGGCTATAATCAACACAACAATGGTTTGAAGTAAATGCTACAGCAAGCTAATATGCTCCCGATGACAACATGCTAACGTTAAGCAGAAGTATTACGTGCACCATGTTAGTTAAGGTCCAGCTAATTGTTAGCATGCTAACACTTTCTTATTAGCTGTAAAGAAACAGGACAGCTCAGGCTGATGGGCATGTGTTGAATTTTGCAGGTATTTTTTGCAATACCATTTTGAACTGATGAGGGCAAAAGAGAAAAGGCAAAGTCAATGGGATTTATCCTCAACCACAGCCTAATGTCAGTGCAAACTTTAATGGCAATGCACCAGGTAGGATGTCATCTACTTTGATCAATTGGGATCAAAGTAGATGACCGACCAACAAAAAAAGCCCTGATTGAGATAATAAAATTGTTAAAAAATGTATCACAGACTCATTTTTCTTAAATGCTTTATACTGCCAAAAACTTTAGCTTTCAGAACAAAAAGTGAGCAGGAAGTGTGAAAAAGTGTAGAAAGTTCTGTTTATTGACGGATAGCCCCTTGAGATGACCCATTTCCTTTTGAAGAAAGTCTTTGTGTTTTATGCAGTAATGTCTCTAGAAACAGAAAACTTCACAATAGTTCCCTATTGGCTTCCTCAATGTCTGCTGAAATGTGTGCGTTTCATACTACTGTTCCTGAGGTGCTTAGGTACAACTCTCATGTGTTTTTCCTTCTGTCCAAGGGAGCAAATTAATCATTTCAGCCCTGCTGCCCGCTTAATTGACCATCACACGTGTACATACACCTTCTCTACACCCGAGCATCTCATCATCCAGCATGAGGACCTCAGCCACTGTCCTAGTCCACCCCAGCCTCTGAGTTCGGCCCCCCATAGAGGTATGCACTCAGCCTTGTCATGGCTCTAGGCAGTGCATGTTCTTGTTGTGGGTTGAGCAACTGCATTAGTCATTTCACATTCCAAATTCCTACCCCATGCTGTATTCACAACTCTATGTCTCTCTCTCTGTTTTTTCTTCCTTTTTTTTCTGTGACAAATCTGTTTCTCTCTCTTCATCATTTCATTTTCTCTCCGTGCCATGTCGGTATAAGGATTAGGATGAGCTCTGATGTGATCTGAGGACCTTCTCTGCACTAGCGGAAGTATTGTGGGGTTTAGATGTTTGACCCGGGGCTCAGAGGTTCCGATTACAGGACAGGACGGCGCTTTGTGTCCTTGAGCAAAGTATCTACCAAGCCTTTTACGCTTCAGTTAACATCTACTGTTCATACAAAAATTAGTGATGTATAAACCTGAAGGCTGTGTAAGTTGCTTTGGATAAAATCTTTTTGCTAAGCAACACAAATATAATACATACATAAAGAAAAAAAAAATGCCCCTGCCCGTGTGACAATTCATCTTCATCCATCAGAGCACCATGCACTGCTGCAGCCCAGCCCGCCATAGTAACCTTTACCTGAACCAGGCCGAGGCAGACACAAGAGATAGTGTTACCACCAGCGTCATCCTACATTATCTCAGGGTGACCAAGAGAGAAGCTCCGGCATACAGCAGGCCGACTGCAGCACACACCCGCACAGAAAAACCCCCACAACAAACACTCAGTCACATATCACTCCCACTGAAGTGACCACAGGTGTGCACATAGCAAGTATGCACACACGTATGCAAAAACCTTTCTGGCCTCACCTGTCTCCTATCAGGACTGTCTGTCTCCCACAGACACACACACACACACACACACACACACACACACACACACACACACACACACACACAGGAGCTTGCATATTGCACCCCTGCTCCGTCCAACCCCCCACCCTGCTCAAAGCAGCCACCCTCAGGGCTTGTGCGTGCGAATCCGGCTGTGGACTGAGCAGCCCCCATCACTGCACCCCCTCCACTCAGGGCAGTGAGGGAAATGAAGGCTTTAGGAGTTCATTATAAAACAACAACAGCAGCAGCAGGGGATAGGCCTCCTGGGGCCAAAAACGCACCCTCTTCATCCCTCCATCCTCATCTTTTTCCTTTATGTCCCTGAATATCTCAACCCCGGTGCACCCTGCTCTCTGTGACACACTCCCCTCTCTCGCTCCTCATCCAACTGAAAAATTCTAAAACATTTCACAATACAGCTTTCTTGTTGAGTAAAGTTAAATATTGATCTAGAATATTATAATATGACGAGTTAATATAGTGAGTCAGTAGTCTCAGTTTATGAACTTGTTTGACCTCCGTCATCAGAAAGACGGCTGACGCATTTATGTATCCTCAGCTGAAGTTTTCAACCTCGGAGGGGAAATCAATATCAAGGCGAAGGAAACGAGAAAAGCTTTGTATTTGCAACTTCATGCTGTTGCTAGACTGACAAAACATATTGTTGCTGTCCAGTCAAAACCCACGTTTTTTAGAACAGCCCAGTCTCAGATTTTTAGTTCTTTGTTTTTGTCAGTCTGATGTTTTTTTTTTAAAGAAACTTGGTTTTCAGGGTTATGGATAAGAAGTTTAATACTTAAAAGAATATACTTAAAAACTATAAAAACTTACATCTGTGCATTTTAGGGATTAAAAGAACGTCATCTTGAAGTATTTTGTCAAAACATTTCTGATCATGTTCAGTACTCAGAGGTTTCCAGGAAAATGTATTTACAGTACTTCTCTGTTTACATGAGGAAACTCTATTTTTAACTTAACTCCAGTTTAAATTGAGTGACATTTCCTAAAGTTTAGATAAATTGTCTGATTCTCGCCCTCGAGTCATGGAGTATACTCATCCCACTGAGATATCATTTGTCCTGACAATGCCAAACACTCCACACACACACACATCCATTATAGAGATTTTGAAGGTCATTAAACCTATAAAAAAAAAACATAGTAAATTAAGTTGTCTTATAATTCACTGAAATACTCAGGCTTGATGTTTTTAATAAGGAATAATACTGTGCAATCATAGTAATTAGAGAGCAAGATCAAAAGCAGCCGTGCATGCAGTATAAATACCTCGTACAATAGCCATCTGTGTGCTGCGGGTTCACTAGTGCCGCACAAATGAGTGGAAAGTTATGATTCATGGATAATAGTGCGTAAACTGCTCTCATTGTCATTCTCATGGGCTGATGAATGTTACTTTCTAATGGTGAATCAGGGGTCAGTCGCATTTCTCCGAGTCATCATTTTTGTCATCAACGTCAGTGTGATTGTCATCCCGGTCCGTACACCGGCTGGAGGCACAACACCTGTAAAGCGCGTCGTCCCCCCCCCCCCTCCGACCCACCCTGCCCTCGCCTGTTGCTGGGCGGTGAGAGGGTGATGCATCGAGACCACAAGCCTTTCAGATGAAAAGAAGGGCGGGGTAGTATCAGCAGGAAGTGGTTTCCTCGCTCGATAGCAAGAGTTTCAGGACAGGTGTATTGCTGCGTGTGTGTGTGTGTGTGTGTGTGTGTGTGTGTGTGTGTGTGTGTGTGTGTGTGTGTGTGTGTGTGTGTGTGTGTGTGTGTGTGTGTGTGTGTGTGTGTGTGTGTGTGTGTGTGTGTGTGTGTGTGTGTGTGTGTGTGTGTGTGTGTGTGTGAGTGCTGAAAAAGACACAACAAACACAGCTTTAACAAATATGTCCATGTATAAATGTTATTTATTTTAAATAAGTATGTAAAGCGACATGATTAAAAAAAACACTGACTTTTGAAATTTGGATTTGTATTATCAAATTCAAAAGAGCTGTACAACAACTTAAAAATATGAACTTTAAGACAATAAAAGAAGAGGACATGACTCTGCATAGCTCATAAATCTTACTGATATTTGCCAAAAGATGAAGTGAGGTAGAAAATGATGATTCCACATTGTCATATGCCTCGAGCCCTACCATGAGATATGCACTGTTCAGAATCAGCCCAACAAAGTAAAGCGTCCGGGGTCTGACCTGCACACATGGGAATGTAACTCTTGTGTGGATGTGAGAATTAGGGAGTAAACATGGTGATTTTCTTTGATTAGCAATTTGGGGGAATAAGCAGCATGATTAGCCCTCTTCAAAGGCATTGAGAACAAAGATGCGGTTAAATCGGACCAAATGTTTCAGTCGGGCATTTCTAAACTTGAAAGCACAGCAAAGTGTGTGCCTCTATAAATAGATGAAATACACCAGGAGAGATGGTATGTTCAGAAATCAAGCGTTTTTTTCATTCTTCTTTGTTTTTTCAAAGACATTGCTCGGTGATTCCCTCTCTATTACGCGGAGTGTTTCCCTTTGTTCTGCTGAGCACAAATTAGGCTTCACGGAGGCATTTCCATAGACATTTCCATAAGAGCAACCGAAAGCAGGCTTGGTTCCCTGTGACTGCATGTAGTTACAATGTTTCAATGGCATCAACCTCACCCCAAAGCTTCCAGTGACTCGGTTTAAACATTTAAACGTTTTCATAACTTCTAAGATTAATTCAACACTTTGTATCACATGTAGCAAGAGCAACTTAAGTGCTTTTAAAAAAAAAAAAAAAATCAGAATTAAACTGAATACAGCAGACAGAAAGACAGACAGACAGACAGGTGGGTTCCTTTGAAGGCCTCTTCGGCCTCAGTGGCAAAACGTCATTACAAGAAAGGTTTAAGTATAAAGCAGCAGTACAACAGACACAATGACCAGTAATAAATAGTCAAGTGAAAGGGGCCAATTAATTTCTATACGACAGAGTCACTGTTTGTTGTCTCACTGCTGGTGATGTCCAGTCCAGTACCTGTTTAAGAGCTCATTTCCCTCTGTCCTAGAGGAGCGGCATTTCAGTGCATCCAGCGCGAGAAGCAGAGGAGTTCATAACATTCTCACCTACAGTAAAGCTGCTGCATATGAGCAGGTGATGTTTAGCAAGTATCCTGTAATATTCTAATGATACATGTGTATATTCCTCCCCATATAAAAAAAAATATGAGTTTGCAAAGACATGCTTTGATGGAGATCCCTCTGTGGATTGTCTGTAAGAGCTAGGAGTTCAGTCGTGTCCACATGTTATTATATAAGTGTTTGCCTCCTTTCTCCTCATTGTCTCTCGTTAGTTATGCGTTTTTGCAGGTGTACACCTCCTCCTCTCTCACACACGTCTGACACTCCACATGGCAGCACCAACGGACCTGGCAGTGGCAAGACAGGCTGGTGAGGCGCATGGCCGTGTTGTAACCTCGTCCACAGCACAGACTCTGACAGCTGGTGTCTTTGGCACACGTCCGGCCGCCTGTGCCCGGGGAGTAGCGGGAAGGCCTGCAGAAGCTAGGGGAGTCCTCCAGGTAGACGAGGTCGGTGGTGCGGAGGCTCTGGCCGTGGCGACGAGGGCCTGCGAGCTCTGTCTCCCCAGTCGCCGCGTTGGTCACGCTCAGCACTCGCACGGCGGTGTCGTATCGATACTTCAGCAGCCGCCCGGTGTCGTGGAAAGGAGACAGCTGCTTCCAGCAAGTCCGTACGGCGCAGGAGCCGGAGACTCCATGACACTTGCAGGTTGTTTTCAGTGCGCTCTTCACTGCCTGAGATAGGAAAAAAAAAAAAAACAAGCAAAAGGAGGGAGAGATGTCAGTTCCTTCAGTTTGATTCATTACCTGGCCTCTTATCTGGGAGGTCTATCGGGACAGAATGAGACGGTTTCCTGCAGGCTGGGTTAGGGGTTTGGGGTGGTAGTCTGGGATAGTGCGCCTTTAGCCCATCTCAGTCAAAAATTTTGACATAATGGATTGGGGGGGGGGGGGGGGGGGGGGACGACTGCTCAGCATGTCGTATTTCATTTGCCTCGCATTTCTCACTTGGACAGCTCTTGCCATTTGTTTTTCCCCCCCAATGTGTTGAAACTAGCTCAGTCTGCTTCTCTGCTGTCTCTCTTCATAAAGCCTGAGGCGGAGGTGACAAACAGAGCAGACATAGGAATCTCTCCACCCTGTTCTTTGTACATGCCTGTTCTTGGAAAACATTGATAAGAATTTCTGTAGTAAAAGTGCCAACACAAAAAAAAAAAAACGAGCGGCAGTTTGTGATGGCGCTCAGGATTTAGGTTTTAAAGCTCACTGAATTTGATTGTCAGCGATCAGAGCGCCATCACTCAGCCTGAGAGCTGCTGTCGGGATCCGGGAGGGGGCAGAGACAGGTCATCCAGTGGGAGCCAGAGGGGACTTGTAGCTTGAAAAGTTCTGCTCAGTTCCTCCCATCGCAGGTATGAACCCCTCAGGGGGCTCAGAGCACCATTACTGAGAGATTGGGGGGTGCCGACCTCTTCTTGTTTTTCTTAACGTGGCTTGTGGCCTCTTCTCGGCCACATTGGTGTAAAGAGAGGAAAACATTTACCTCAGTTAAGATGAGATAAGATAGTTCTTCCTGTTGTGTTTCCCCCCCCCCCTTTTTTTTCTCTGGCTCTATCTAGGTGTGAGCTGCAGGAGAAGCACCCTGGGGCCTGCTTTTTTTTTTTTTTTTTTCACAGCTACACACTGGTTGTTATGAACATTAGTTGGATTTATGAAGAGCCCAGTGATCTTGTAAGTGCAAAAAAATGCTCGCTTGTATATTAAAAAGAGGCCACGGTTATAATCGTTCTCTCTGACATGAGACCTTTAATTTTCTGTAGGCCCGCACAGCAAGCTTTATCATGCCTGAAAACACCTGGCTCCAAACCGTCCCACAGCCGTCCTGTCTCCCGGCTGCCGCTGCCTCGCCCTCGGAGTCTGTGTTCTCCAGCGAGACAAACAATGGCAGAAAATAAGGGGTGCCTTTGTCAGGCTGGCACTGTGCAAAATGTGCATGTTAGTATCACAATTCTGCGGTCTCTGAAGTTGCAGGAGTGTGTCAGGGCTATAATTGTTGTGTAATTGCAGCTAAGCTAATTGAGCAAAGTGTGGCTCAGGTATGTGTGATGTTTTCGATGCCCTGGGCTTGGGAGGCAACCTCATAAATGGACAAGGTGGCAGTTTCGCTGCAACAAATTGAATGCAATATTTCCACATCTTTTATTTTGTTGTTACTCACCCGAATTCCCACGTTGATGTTGTGGGCGTCAATCTGAGCCCTCAGGTCCTTGCTGACCCTCTTCTGGCCGAGGAACTTCTTGAGGAACTTGGTACTGTATTTCAGGTTGTCACCGCAGACCCCCCACTGCCACGCTTCTCGATGCTGGATCCCGGGGGATTCGTCGCATGTGCACCTCTCCATGCGGCCTGAGCTGCATGCTTTGGCCAGTGCATGGGTCAGCGCTGCAGAGGACACTGCCAGCAGGAAGGCAGTCTCCTTGAATGCTGGGATAAATGAAAAAAGTCATCAGAGGAGATAGGAAAAAAAAAAAAAAAGTGTAACATTCAAAATGTAATTCTTTTTTTTTTTTTTTTTTTAAGGGGGTGGGGACAGATTTAAAGAGCTTTAAGTGCAAGATCCTTTTTGGCATTACAAAGTTGTTTCCTGGGTCAAAACCGTGTTGAACTTTAGGGATTCATTCATGGTTTAAAAACGTGAACATGTCTTCTGTGCACTGACGTAGCTTTTTAACCGAATGTTTACAAAGAGAGTTGTCATGGTTTTTTCTACAGCCTCAGCATTATACTACAAGTTTTCTTGTGTCATAATCCGTCTTCTGACCTTTCCTTTTGGTTACGCACTGTTATTTGCTCCCCCCCCACCCCCCCCCACCCCCCTCCAAAGCCACCACCAGGTTATATTTTGATCCAATTAATTATTATTTTGACTAGGAAGGATTTTCCCAGATGAAAGTGGGTAATCATGCCACCCTTTTCCTCTGGGAATGGGCGCTTTCCCCGAGATAAAAATAACCACAGGGCTAGAGCGCTCTCCACCGCACCACATTTCTTGGCTTTCTACACTCTCATTACCTCGGTGCTGACCTGTTCATGTTCTCCCACACACTGATATCCATATGCACTCGAGCATTTTCTGTGCACAGCAGACTTGCATGGATCTGTATGCGATATGGTGATTTAGTATGGACACTTCCATTGTCCAAGTGTAGCTAATCAATAGCTGCATCAGGTCATGGAAAAAAGTTGTCGACTAGACAAGTTCTGGAAAAGTTTTTTTTTTGTAGCTGTTGTTTTAAATCAAAGGGATGTGCAATGATCTTAATTATATAAAATAAAATAGTTTAGTATGACTCGGCTTTGGAATAAGAGCTGTATGAAAAAAAATACAAAACACCCTCAACTTAATGACCACGAGGCAGCAATAATAAATATGAACAACAATAAATGCTTTAAAGAACTATTAACTTTGCATTTTATACTAAAAGTGATTTATATCTATCTATAGGCTGTATAAATGTATTTATTTTCTGCATAGTTAACATTTTCTGTAGGCTATAATCATGACTGTAATCATACCTGCATTAATTACAGAAAACATTATTGAAATTGTATAAAAATTGGACCAGAAAAATGTGATCACTGTCTTAAATCTTGACCCCAAACATCTCTAACAGCTAAATTTACAAGCATTGGTTTAAATTTCTTTCTGCCTAATTCTGTTGCACATAATAACATGTTTTAGGATTAAATGATGTTACCATCAATAGACTAAAACGACGCACCTGTGTTACTTGAGGTAGCTAATTGTAGACAGAAAAACAGATAAAAGATACGAGACCTCAGTGGTGGATTATCACGGGATCGAGCCAAGCACTCGTCGCTTTGTCTGACGGGTCATTTCTTGTGAATACTGCGCGGCGTGCTGAATGTACAGACTGATTGCACCGCTTACCTCTTTTCAGAAGGCTTCCCCGGCCGTCCAGGCTGCAGTTCCAGCGCTCATTCCTGAACTGATAACGACACTCCAGTAGACTGAGGCGCACGGATTCCCGCAGCGTCTCGGCCAAACCGGGCTCCCTGCGACACAGCCTCTTCTGCCGCCGGGTCAGAGTCATCTGCTCGCACTGCTTCAGGTGCGCTTTACCTGTCGGAGGGTCATTGGAGAACGGACCCGGTAAGAACACCAAGGGCTCCCGACCTGTCAGTCTTTGGAGAAGAATAAACACATTAGGATTTCTGGGGATCTGAATTTGGTCCTAAAAATTGTACATGCAATGAATAATTCCAACTTGTGTGGTTCCATTCTGTCAGCGGGATTTGTAAACATTGTAAATGTATCACAGAATTACCACATAGGTGTTACAGTTAGGTTGTATTTCATGCTGTCTTCCGCTATGAAAAAGTTATTTTTTTTGGTAAATGTTGGCTATATGACGAAATGGGAAGTTTCTTTCTTGGTTTTAACTAATAGAACAAGAAAGCAAAACTAAACAGCAAAAACTATCATTTAACTAATCCATAAAAAAGGTGTAGATAGAAACACAAAGTTCAGATTTGTTTTTGTTTTTTTGTTGCTCTCTAAGAAACCAATGGTTATGATTATCACAATAGCACAAAGGTCTTTGCACCATTACGCGTGCGTAAATTGGCTAAAGGATGAAGCGATCTCTCTGCGATGAAAACAACAAAGACAGAAGTAAAACAAATAAATGAGCTGACCCAAAATAAGCTGCAGTTTGCGAGAGGAGGATGCAGAGTGCAATGAGTCGCAGTAGGCAGGCGGTCCGTGGGAGCCTGGAGCGCATGGTGCCGGATTGGCGCTGCTCTTCATCTCGATGATTCGTCAATGGAGAAAGTCTGTGCCGTCTGCTCGGTGCATCTCTTTAAACGGCCCCACATGCTCACAGACTTTCAATCCTGTGCTCCGGGCCCAGTGGTTCGCTGGGAGGCAGGGCTCTTTTTCGGGAGGTGTGGGCATCATCAAGCTGAACCCTCATTGGATTTAATTTAGTTACTGTATGTTCCCTCCCATCGCAGGTGGTTTGAGATTCAAAATGCCTGAGTTTACCTGCTGTAATAGAATTCTCAAATACATCTGGCTCTAGACCTCTAGTAGTTCTACGCTTTGAAATCCAAATCTCAAATCGAGCCTTTTTGTGGACAGTGAAACTCGGTATTTAAAAAACATGTGTTTGGCGTCAGAGGGTTTTTAAATTTATGGTCAGTCTGCCCCAAATCCCACAGAATCCACTAACGTTTTCCAAACAGTTTTGACTTTGCTTTACTTGATTTTCTTTTAACCTGAATTCTAATCTTCCAGATTTCTTTCAGTTACTTTAAAATCTGATTTTATTATTGGAGTCTAAAGACCCACCAGTTTTTTTTTTTTATCTCAAAGGGCACAACACCTCCTTCCACTTTTAAGGGTCTTCTACCAAAATGTTGGATTCCTGACCATGGATGAGAGAAACAAAAAACACTAGAAGTTTAACATTGCAGAAAAAAAAAAAAAAAAAAAAATCCTGAAATAAATTAAAGCAAAACATGCTTTGCTTTAAGAACTATGTGGGTGACAAAAAATAATTATTATAGAAGGTGATATATAGGACTGCAGTATTATTTAAGGACATTTATCCTGCGCCTAGCATCAAACCTTGTTGTTAACTTCAGTGGTCACCAGAGAAAAACAACCATGGATGGAGCCCCATCTAGTGGATTTGATATAGAAATTTAAAATGGGAACCTGAATGGATTATTACAGTTTTACCTTCTAATACAAGGAAGTTGGCCTGATAGTGTGCACTGACCTTTTTTTTTTTTTTTTTTTTACAATATAAATGAGTCTGCAGATCATTTTGTTCATTAATTTTGTCTCAAGGAAATACGAGGAATATGAAGAAAAATTCCCATCAGAATTAAAAATAAATAAATATCACATTGGAAACTACATTGTATTGTCAAACTGATAATTCAACATCTTCAATAGCTCCATTTTTCCATCAATAAAAAAAAAAGTAAAGAAAAGTAATATTAATCACACATTAATCTCTTGTTAGATGAAACTCTGATTTTATTTTGACAGATTTCTAAACTGACATCAAATTGATTGACAACACTCAAATAATTTGACTAAAATAACATTTTCAGTGCAGGTTTTTTTTTATTTTTTTTTTTATCAGAGTATGTTTAGTTGTGGTGCTTGTTTTTACATGACATCAGGCCATACCAAATGGCAGCTATATTGTTTTCCCCCATAAAATATCACAGAAGAAGACTCTAAAATCGTAATTTCCAACAAAAGATACTGTACAAAAAAAAACAAGCTTAGGCTATAACTATAAGAGACACAAAAAGAACTCACTGGAGTAAATGTGAGGATTCAATAGGGAAGAAGAGACCCCAGCAGGAGAGAACAAAAAGGATGAGAGGCGTGAGAGTAGTTTAATCCAGCAGATGGCAGTAACGTAACTTCTTAGATACCAGCTTGCCATTAAAACCCAAAGAAGAAGAAGAATGCAGACGCTGATGACGACGACGGCGACGACGACGAAGAAGAAGACGACGCCGGAAAACGCCATTTTGTTGCAGAATTGGACCATTGAAGAAGGACCGAGAAGCATTAAAAGGTACAGATACGATTCAGCACCGTTTAGAAATGATATGTAATAGATGTAGTTTGAATTGTAACAGGTTAAATAGCAACACACGGATTCATTCTTTACATTTCTCCGTTTGTTAGATAAGCTTGAAGCCAGGCTGTTGAATTTCGTTAGCTGTTTGATTTTACCGAAACAGTGTTAGCCAATGAATCATAAAAAAAACACACACCCTCTTGTGTCTCTTTAATTTAATGTATCCTAAACACAACAAGTGGGGGTTATCATTGAGATTTGTTTTTGGTAAGCTCTGCGTTGATTCTCTTCAGTCAATTGTGACGGTGTTGTACATTTATTAAGATAAAGCGAGGCTAACATCAGTGAGCTCAGGTTAGCGCCTCTTCCTGCTTTGTGGCTGACGTCACCAAGGTAAGACGTGGAGGCACTGATTTATCTGCTCATTTCTTTACCTTACAATTATTTCTATACTTCATGAATAGAATTTACCTGTAAACTACAAAACATGTACGATGACGTTATGATTTATTGGCGTCTGCTGAGCGTAAGCAAGCCTTTTTTTTTTATTCCACATTAGTTAAGATAATATTTTTTATTGTATTTATTTATTTTTTATTTGTAAATTTTATTTCAACCTAAGAAAAACAGACAAACATAAAATCTCAAATTTTGAATGCAAAGCAGCAGGAAGAAGATGAATCTTTATAATATCTGCCCCTCTTTTACAAAACATTAATTAAAACAAAACAGAACACTTAGATATTACAATGACTTAGTTAGTTTGTTAGAGGTTCTCCTGAACTTACTACAGACCTGAAACACAATAAGCCTATTCGTTATCCTAACACTTCTTAAAAAAAAAATACCTATCACGCCTTGATGGGTGAACAGGAACCTGTCATTCCTGTTTCTCGGAAAGAAAAGCTTTCAACAGCACGTCCTCAAATGTCTTCAAACCAGATGCTAAATAAATCAACATTGTATCAGATGTATATAAATACATTTTAATATTTTTGCTGATGGGAAAAAGGTAACAATGTGGCTGACAATAGTTCTTTATGACAGAGAAAAACCATCAAGAGGTTAAGTTGAACATCAACTTTTTCCACTTGTGGACTTGACCTTTTTCTGCATAGGGAGGACCAAGCATCATTATTTTTGTTTTCCTTTTTTCCATTCAAAACACACGGGTTGTTTTAGCCAGCTGATGTCCAATCTTCTACCATCATTCTTATTGTGTTAGCTTTATTCAAATAATTCTTGAGTCTGACTAAAGTTAGACCCTCTTTTTGTTTCTATGTTACTCAAGATATCATTTGGCTCCGGTGCTCCCTGCTTCATCATGCGGATTCATCTGTTGTTGTTAATAGACGAGTTTAAAGATTTATTTTTGGGATTTTTATGCCTTTAATGGAGAGATAGGACAGTGGATAGAGTCGGAAATCAGGGAGAGAGAGAGAGAGAGAGTGGGGAATGGCATGCGGGAAAAGAGGCCACAGGTGGGATGTGAACCCGGGCCGCCCGCTTGATTAATAGACGAGTTAAGCTCCGTGTTGTGTGGTCATGATATTTGACAGTTTACACCAGCTGACACGTGAATCATTCATGTGTCATGATAGGACTGTGGAGGATGGTCCTCAGCCTCCACACTTAGAAGTGCTTTGCACCGTTTACCTCTTTTCAGAAGGCTTCCCCGGCCATGCAGGCTGCAGTTCCAGCGCTCACTCGATAAATATTATTGGTATCATGCCCGAAGGAGAATTTAATTAAACAAATCCATTATATTGATGCTTTGTTTTACATTTTGAATTTAACTGATGGGTTTCTGAGAAAACAAATTAAATGAGAAGAGAAGGAACGAAGCAGGAGTGGTTTGCTGAAAATAAATTTGAGTAGTAGTTCTTCAACATATTCCCAGCCACTCTTTTAATCCGTCATCAATATTTCAACACATTGCATTAATGAGTGAGTATGAAGGCATTAAATGTAGCTGTCAGATGTTTATCATTGGGGATGAGCCAAGTTAGTTAAAAAAAAAAAAAAGCGGTTGTGTCTGACTTTGTTGTTGACGGTCATTCTGATGGCACGCTGTATAGCCTTGCAATTATGTCGCTTACCCCGTCTACAGTCCTTGTCACATCGGCTTTGGGTTCCAGTCCAATGTCGGCCCTTGCTGTCATTCCCAACTCTCACCTCTCATCATTTCCTGTCTCTCTTCAGCTGTCCAATCCAATAAAGGCCAAACTAACTTAAAAATAAAACATACTGTAATGTGTTCTATCTGTTTATGAAGTTGTTTTTAAAGTAGAGAGTATCTGAGACCCCCACAGGGGCTGATCTGATTTATGCCATACTCTCTGCTGGCACCAGACTGATGACGTTTTTCAACTTGCATGATAACTAACCTCAAACAATTCTTTTCTCTTGCTAATTAATGATGGTATCAGATCAGTGCGTTGCCTGGCATGCTCGCCAGGTTACGTTTTAGGCCGTTTTGGAGGCTAATACAAGCCCAGCTACTACTTTGGTATCCAAATAACTGCATGTATGCCAGACTTCTCTTGGACCTGTCAAAAAAAGAAAGACAAATGCTAAAATTTGTCAGCACTTATACTTTAGCGGCTGTTAATACAGTAAACCTGGTCATGCTCAGGGACTTTCTTTTGTGTGTGAAATACTGAAAACGCAGAGACAGAAACGTGAACTAACAAGACAGCTCACGCCATCAGCATCTCTCGCAACCTTTTCATAATCGCATCAATGTATTTAGAGACCTCACCACACAATTCTTTGTCCTTCTGCAGGTGAGCCAAGATGGGGATCAGTTTTAGTCATGTTTTAAGCAGATTGTTTGGCAAGAAAGAAATGAGAATCCTCATGGTAGGACTTGATGCTGCTGGAAAGACTACCATTCTGTACAAGCTCAAACTGGGAGAAATTGTTACGACAATCCCTACCATTGGTAGGTACTCTTCTTCATCTTCCTGAGAATTAATTCAACACACACTGTGACTGATATCTGTCAATCTAAAGCATGATTATTTTTCTCTCTTCGTCTGCAGGATTCAATGTTGAGACCGTAGACTACAAGAACATCAGTTTTACAGTGTGGGATGTGGGCGGTCAGGACAAGATCAGACCCCTCTGGAGGCATTATTTCCAAAACACACAAGGTGAGCGGCTTTCTGCTGTTTCAGGAGAATTTCAAGTTTCGAAACCGTTAACATCTTCCTTAACACAAAGAACCTCTTCTCTATTTTCAGGCCTCATCTTTGTAGTGGATAGTAACGACAGGGAGAGAGTCGGGGAGGCAAAGGACGAGCTGATGAGAATGCTGGCTGAGGATGAGCTGAGGGATTGTGTGGTGCTTGTGTTTGCCAACAAACAGGCGAGTCTATGTTAATATTCTTAAAATACGACAACAACTACTGGTAAAAAAAAAACAACAACTTCTTGACCAATGATCTCTACTTTCGCATGTTTTCTACAATTATTAAGCGGATGGTGATCGCAAGTAGCTTTAAAGTGATCCAGAGAAACTGTAACAGGGAATATTTATTGCTATTCTCTTTTCTCATGAATTAATTGATGTATTTTTTTGGCTCTTTCAGGACCTGCCCAATGCCATGAATGCAGCAGAGATCACCGACAAGCTGCAGCTGCAGTCTCTGCGCGGTCGTAGCTGGTATATCCAGGCCACGTGTGCCACTAGTGGAGACGGTCTCTATGAGGGTCTGGAATGGCTGTCAAACGAGCTAAAGAATGTAAAATGATGCATCACTTCACCTCCTCTGTGTCATCTCTGTGACTGCAGAATGTGGGGGGGACTACCCTGGTCCTGGTCTCATTCTCTCTTATTTTTCCTCTCTTTCATCTGAAGTGGTGGACTGTTGGCCAGTGCCCTCCCCCTCCCCTCCCCTCCCCCCCCTCCCCTCCCCTCTGCATCTGTTCACTGTACGAGTGTGTTTTGATAAGTATTTCTGTATGGATGAGTGTGTGAGTTGAGTGGGAGCAGCCCTGCTGTGCCTTGAACACAGTGAACTCTCAAACACCTCATCCCTCCACTGTAAGACTAAAAACACAGGAGTCCTGTGTCCTTTGGATTTACATCTGATAGTGACATTAAGGTTATATTTATAAACGTTTATTCACCATGAAATCAAGTTTAATACACCACAGTGTAGGCCCTGTGTATGTTTGACACAATAGAATACCTGACCAGACCAGTTGACATTTGTTATTGAACTTAGATTTAGTGAATTTAAGTGTGACAGCAGCAGTCATCTTTTGATTCATAATTCTCTTCGTTCTTGAATAATAAGAAGACACATTTATTGAATCATTACTTTTTCTTTTTTTTTCCAAACTAAATGGAATCCCCTCTTTGAAAGTTAACCTCCTTACGGCCATGACCCCCAGTATTTATTTTCATGAGGCCTTTTGTTTTTCCGTTGTCTTATTTTTACACCCAGGATATAAAAAGACCCGTCATGACTGGCTTAAGCAAAGGCAATACATGTTTCACGTTTACATCTATGGAGTTGTTTAGGTTGTAGCTACTATGTTCTTAATACATGTGTGTGCCCTCTGGGTGCTGTGTGGGATTTCCAGTCTTTTGGAAGGGTGAGGCCTTTTAAGAGTTGCTCCCACTCTGTCTTTTTCTTTACCGATGGTCTTACTTTCTGTCATATTTAGTTCTCTGGGTTATTGTGTTTTCTTTTCAATTATGGTATATTTTTTTAATTGTTACATTCAATGCACGTGTGACCTGTTCTACATATGCATGACCGGATGTGCAAGGTGTGCAGTCTTGACTTTTCTTTTGATGATGCTCTTGGGACCAAATTGGTTAGATTTAGAAAGGGCTTGTTGTGTTTGCTCAGTTTTGGATTCACTTCCTCAAGTGTTTCCTAAGGAAAAAACTTTTTTTCTTTTTTAACAAATAGTCTGCGCTGCAATACATGGTACAGTTCAATTAAAAAGTGTTTGCTCTGGACTATCGATGCTGTAAATGCTTCCTCAATGCTTCAGGCTTAATGGTGGTTTTCCTGCATGTAGCCAGGGCTCTGCTCCTGGAAGTCGTCGATGTTAATTCCCTCTGATGCCATTTGCACAATCTCATAAACTAGCACAACACAGGCTTGTGTGAACACAGTGGGTTATCCATCAGCCCTCGCAATGAACCCACAGACAATAACGCTTCCCATTGCTCTACACCAGCAGACACCAGTTAACCCAGTAACAGAATAGTTTCCCACGCATCCAATAATCCCACAGGCTCAAGCAAGTAATAAACCAACAAACTGAGCTGCCCCCTTACTGAGTGAAGATGATTTCACGTCATAATATCACACTGACCCTCCAAATTAAAATACCCCTTCTCTTTTCAACCTCCGGATATGTTGTTTTCCTCACAGACTGTTCTTTTGGACCTTTCTTGACTTCCTAAACATCCATAAAGTTCATAGGAGAAGTGGCATGATCTGGTATACAGCAAGAAATACAAATGTATATATAATATTCTCTAAGAAAATGTATTTTAACTTGAAGTCATACACATACCCTTGTTCAGATGTGAAGCTTTAATTTTAGGGATTGTTTTTGTTGAAATTACAGGGTATGTGCATCTGTATTTCTTAATTACCTTTATGCTTTTTTAAACTCGTAGTAACATCTGATAAATGCACTATAATAAAGAGATCTCTATTGTACATGTGCTTTACTCGTCTTTTGTTCACAGAAGAGAAAATTCCCTGAGCTATAAATATAATCCTAAAATGTATTCACCAAAATCACACCACTGACAAACCTCTGTCTAGTTATCGCATAATGTTGCAGACAGCTCTGTGTGCTGGTTGCTTTGATCTAACAAAGAACGTCAGACGCTTAAGGAAATCATGTAAAAACTTAAAACCTAGGAAGACCCCATTTTTGGTGTTCACATTCGTTCCTGCCACAGCTTTGTGCACAAGTGTTCGAAAGGGATTTTTCCCTCATCAATGCACTGAGGGACCGTTACATTTTTATGACGTAAAAAAATAATTAAGAGCCTTAACTGGACTCTTAGAAAAAATCTTTGGCTCAGTTTAAAGCTTCAGGTTATTAAAAAAAAATCACATCTTCAGTCAACGTTCTTGTCCTTAGGTTCTTGTCTTTTTTTAATTAAAAAAAAAATGAAAATACAAATAATAGAGAAAACTGAGATTATTGTTGCAGTTCTAAACTGCCACCACTGGAGGGCAGTAAACACTAGATAAACTCATACACAGAAAAAGGGGACACTTGCTGAGATATACAGTATAGAGTTTAAAACACAGGAATAATTCCAACAAATTTCACTGCTTTTATTTTTGTAATCACAAAATGAATCAAACATGCAAGTTGGCTTTATGCCTCATATTCATTTTTGCTTACTGAGTCTCCTTGGCTTCAGTGTGCACTTATAATGATATTCCCCTTTGTCATGAGTGGATGATGCTTAAAGGACTTATCCAACATTTTAAACCAAAAGCAAAAATGACACTTTTTACAATGAATTCATCCAGCTACTGTCGTTTTAAAACATGCCTCTCTCACACCTACGAGGTATAGCGCAGGGTGAGGTACGGGATTAATAAAGATGCATGGTCCCGAGAGACTGAGATGGACAGATGGTGACAGAGTGAAGATGAGTCTCTCTACAGCAGACCTCTGCCCAGAGCTCACCCTCCTTTTTTTCTGCTACATCTAGATTTCAGGTGGCCAATTCTCCATAGAGTTGTTACCTTGGAAACAGCACCTTATGTATTTATAGAGGGGGGACTGGGGAGAAATGGAGAATGGAGGGCAGGAGACAAGACATGGAAAGTGATACATGTAAGAGGTAGCAACAGAAGCGGATGCAGCTCTTCCATTAATTACTAAGTCCCTTTTAATGAACGGAGGGCAGCCTATGATGTCATCATTGCACACACATCATCCCTTTTATTCTGAAATATGTGCGATGACCTGATCTCATACTGTTTTTATTAGAGGTTTTAATGCTTTGTAATTAATGTTGAGCTGATATTAAAGATGTCTTCTCACAGCACTTTGAATCGGAATCCCTGTCAGTAGTTTAACACATTTTCCAACCCTCAAGTATACTGACATCATTTTCAGACATAATCTTCCTCAAGCACCCAGTGAAGAAACCCTTTGTTCCAATATGTTCCTATAAGCCCTACTGACAACTTCGATAACCTACCTTATGTTCCTTTAGTTGCCACTGCAACCAAAACAGCATTGCCCTTTTCGACCCAGGCTCCATTTATGCGAGCTATCCAGGTAGAGACAACGTCAATACTACCTACCCTTCCGCACGGCCCCCTTTTGGCCTCCACATTCAACCGTGTAGACTGATGACCAGCAAGAGCCATTGGGGTTGCCAAGTGGGACCCTCCGTTCCCAGTTGTATCAGCCCAATTCATCGCAAAACACCTTGGAAAGGCAAGCCAGAGCCACCCCCCTTCATGCTACCTCCCTCTGCCCACCGTACACACACACACACACACACACACACAGAATTTCTCTATCTTACCTAACCAACAACATGGCCCCTAAAGGCCCCCATGACCAAAATGCAACTATCCCTGGTGCCAACATTCTGAAAAAAGAACAACTGCAAAGAGAACACAAGAAAAAAATGTAGCAACTGGAAAAAGTCTGTAGAGAGATCTGAGAAAAGGGTGGGGAAATAGAGCCAGGTTTCCCTTTTGCTGAAGGGGAAAAAATCTAATAAATCCGAAATGAGTCTGAAGTAATTATTATAAAATATGTAGAATCACACTCACTGCACGCACACATACTGCGTCAAACTTGACCTTTAGCTCTGTCCACTCCATCTCACCTTGATGTGTGACATCACACCACGTTTCACAGCACATTAACCCCTCAGTCACCCGTGATGTCAACTTTTCAGCAAGCCTTTTTGCACTTCCCTGAAGACCATTTTCCCTTTTCCTCCCGAGGAGGCAGTAACAAAGAACACTTACTAAACTTCTCTCCTGAAGTACAGTTTGGAGATGGTGTATTTACTCTATGTGCTGCTTTGTGTTACTTAACATGTCAAAGGGAAATTTGTCACTGTATTGTAATGTATTGTAAGCTGTGGTTACTTGCTTCTTGCTTTATTTCATATATAGAAAACATTAAATAGGCTATTTAAACTGGCCTTATAAAGATCAAGTCACTGGTTCGGAATCCGTTTGGCTTGTGATCCTCCAGCCATGACTTTCAGGCAGTTCTACTCAGGTGAGATATTCTCTAAAGTAGCTTAGTTCAAATCAAATGGTATTAATATTTATCACAAAATTTGCTATGCTTTGCTAGCAGCGAAAAAAAAGGTGCATTTTTTATGCCAAACCTTTCAATCGGCTACAACATTTGCTTTCTATACATTCTCAGTGCATGCACATCTAACATTAATGGTCAACCGTGTTTCTTGGCGTGAGGAAGTCACAGAAGGTCCTCAGCAGTGGGTCTGTGGCTGCGCTGGTATTTTAAATCTTGTCTATCCATCCACCCACACACACCAAAGGAAACAGAGTTCACCAGTCTCTGCACCTTTCCATCGAGCCAAGTCATTTCTAGCCTTTCACATTGCCATGGAAACACAGGATTTGTCCAGTTGATTGGCAATGGACTAACGCCGAGGCCAAGAACTCTTCGATTTCATGAAACAGCTGAAACTGTAGTCTTGGGGTTGAAGAAAGATTTTCACTGTCTCAAACAAACTAGATTATTATTTATATAACTGGATCATTAAATATGAATAACCTCTGCCAATAAATGCAGTCATTTGTATGATATTAGTTAGTATTACTATTTATATAAAGCATATATTCCATTTGTAAGGGATTAAATAGCCGACATAAAACATAATTTGGATTCTTGGGTGTGCATGTTAAGTGTTCATTCATCTTGATGTTGATGGTTGAACTCTTTTCTTTTTTATATAGGCTACATTTGTTTACTTTGAGCAAGATGTTAAACCTTAAAGTTGTTAACAATGAACAAAAGTTATTAACCGACCTTCGTTCAATTAAACATCAACTTTGGCTGAGAAACTGATTTTGAAGCCCGTCTCTATGGGAGTGAAGACACACTGCTGCAGCAAACTGTAGTAACTCTATTGTAATGTTTCTGACACTTTCGTAGCAAAACCCATTCATTTATTGTTATTATTTTATTGTAGCCAATATATTTTACAAATATAGACTAATACAAATATGCATCCACAATTACAGTCCCAAAATAACCTGCCTACTTACATTACCTTTAAAGATAGAAAGAAAAACATAAGAAAACATCTTCACAAGTGGGAGGTAAAAAAAAATAAAAAAATCTCACACCTGCCGCTCGGCACTAGCTGTGACATATATCATATCAAACATACCCTCAATTAAAAGGCGGTTTAATTAAAATATGTGAGTTCATTTCTCCCCTCCATGTGAACTTTGAACAAAACTCATCTCATCCAATGTCCCCGTCATTTTTTTACAGTCACTTCGACTTCAGCTGCGAGCTTTGTGCCAAAAGGCAATGTTACCTTTTGTTTGAGGTAAGTACGAAGACAGTCAATGTTTGTTGTTTGTTTTAATTTGGAAGCTTTTACCAACCATCAAGGAGAGGCTCCTGCTGGGCTAGCTGCTTCTACCTAACATCATACACTGTAAATGGTTTTACCCAGCTTTAGCCATAGACTGTAAATATAATAATTGTGCAAATGGTTTTACCGTCTGTGTTCAATAAATAATAATAATAATAATAACATGTAGCCTACCGTGGCTTAAATGCATAATTTAAAAAAAAGTTTGTACCAGAGTTAGCTACTGGCCAACTGAAATGCTCATTTTGCAGCACATATGACACGACATTTTATTATTTTGTTAACCATTATTGTTTGATTAATCAGCTTGTAAATAACCATTAATGTTGTTGCTGATTGTGGTGGGTGTAATTTAATGATTTAACATGTTGTTAGGCAGTTACAGCAAAGCATATTTAGTGAAGTGAATTTATATTTTATTTTAAAAAGTAAGCCACATGATGTAAAGGATAAGCCTACAATAAAGTAACAAATACTGACAAGAACACTAAATGCATGGTATAAAGGCAGGAGGTTGCAAAAATGTAGTTTTTCTCTCAGTAGATAGGCTACCTCAATTTTGTTGATGCAGTTTCAATGAAGTAAAAATGTTGACACGACATCATATACTCAACCTTTTCTTTCTTATCATAACATCCTACAGTGAAGCAATCCATAAATATTTATAAAACGGTGCATAACAAAGGAAAGAAACAATGAACAATATCAGTAGAAAGATATGCAGACATTAAATGAGGTCAGGTTGAATCCTATAGCACCCATTTTTTTTATAATCTGTTCACTAAAATCTCATAAGGACTTGGCACCCTTAATGTGAGCGTTGAAGTCATCCCAGATCCGACTGGTTGTTAGCGCCTCAAACTTGATGAATAAATGAACCTAATTATTTAACCACTGGTTATGGGCATAAATTCTTCTGCCATATATTATTTTCTTTTTCTTGGTTTGCCCAATGGCAGTCTGTAGTAGAAGGAAATATTGTGTTCTAGCTGCAGGAATGTAAACATGTTTATTTGTCTTCCACGAAGGCAGAGCTATGCTTTATGTATCTTCACTTTAAATGTTATCTCGTTTTCCCTATCT